ACACCTCTGAGGTGCTGAAAGGAAAGCTCCCTCTGCGTCACTGTGGTGCTGAATGGACAGCTCACCTCAGCACTATATAATATTTTTAATCGTTAATGAACGAGGCAGTGTGTGTGTGAGGGGACCGGAAACAGGTCAAATTGTGTTTATACAGCGCCTTTCGCGTCTTCGAGACGTCTCAAAGCACTTCACGGGAGTTTTACCGTATAACTTGCAATGACTTTATATTGTAACGCAATTGTAATGATATTGTACCATTCAGCGGGTTGAGTATGAGTAGAGTCAACTACTCAGAACAGATACAGTTGTCTATAGTAAGGGAGCGTACAGTCTAGACACGAAACTACTGCTTTCCCATCATCATCCTTGCAAGCTGTCCTAACATACAGGGATGATCCACATCAACTTGGTTTTGCAGGGTGTCTCTGTGCAGCCTGAAGCAGACACAAGGCAGAAGGAAATGGAATCAAATGGCCAACTTTTAACACGACAGAACAGGCAACGGATGTATTATGCTCCACGTCCCTGCCCCTAGCTTGCCCCACCTTCGGTGGTTGGGCCTTCAGCCTCCCTGCCCCACCCCTGTGGACCTCCATCCCACATTCCCTCCGCCTTGTCCCCGTCCTTTTGTATTATGTCAATTGTGTAAATTGGGCGGCGATGAACAATGGCATCGAGTAGCCTCCGAAAGAGACGCAAGAACAAAGAAGGGACACACAGGCACACATAAAAAATAAAGATATTGTATAGGCTTCAACCTCTTAGTCACTCTCTGTCTCTGGCTCACAATGCAATGAGAGTTGACCTGTTTCCAGTCCCCTCACACACACTGCCTCATTCATTAATGATTAAAAATATCATAGCAAGGCCTTTTTATTTTTGCTAGATGGAACCTGTCCCCCAGCCCTCATGAATAATTCCATAGGATGCTCCTCACTATATGCTCAGGGCGGTTGATCTCTTCCAATTAATATTTTTGAAATGAATTCAACATCTCAATGTATATTTAATTCCATGTAAATTGCTTTCTTTTGCTTTTGTTTTGCTTTCTTTCTGCGAGCATGCCTATTCCATACCTATTGTACTACTTGGAGTTGCCGGTATTAATAATAATCATAATAATAATAATCCTTGCACTTGATATAGTGCCCTATCACGTCTTCAAGACGTCTCAAAGCACACACTTTTTTTATTTTTTTTGCCACTCCTTTTAGCTCTCTTAAAAAAAAACTTGTAAGTTATTATTTTTCCACACTCTCACAATATGTTCTCTTGTCATCAATAATTACTGCTGATCAATTATACATTGCATCTCACTACAAATGGAAGATAAGGCCACAAAAGACCAAGTCTACAGACTAAAGTTTATTTATCAAAATCCTAATTAAAAAAAGAGAGATAGCATCTTACAAGCCCAGTGGGCAAAATATTCTGAAGAATGTCCTATGTTTGGTGCATTTTAATGATATCTGTCAAGATTTTCCCCATCATTTGGTCAGTCACTTTGTGACTGTTTGTTTCGTGCAAATTGGCTGCTGCGTTTGCCTGAAAAACACACAGTTACTACGCTTTACAGTCAATCCTGTGAAGCAATTTGAGATGTACTCTTGATGTGAAAGGTGTTGTATCAAATGCAAGGGTTATTTATTATTTGTATTACTGCACGCTGCACAGATGGGAATGCTCACTCAATCAATGGCAGTTTGTGGGACGTCGCTGTGCGCAATCGGCTGCTGCATTTCGCCCACAAAATATATGGTCAATTGACTTCACAGTATATTCTGTGAAGCGCTTTGAGATGTCTCAAAGACGTGATAAAAGCGCTGTATCAAACGTGAGGATTATTATTGTTATTATCATTGCTGTTATCTCAGCTCTGATCTCCTGTTCCCCGTTGTAACTGGGAACTGGATTTGCTCTGTGCTAATTCACACGTATTGATCTGCTCCTATGAAACCAGCCAATCTGCCCTTGTCCAGTCAGCCAGAGCGCACAATACCAAGCTGCTGTTATGTTATTGACCACAATTCAACAGGTCCCATACTGACGCTTCCGCATCCTCACACAAATATTGACAGACAAATTATGGTACAAATGAAATAGCTACACGACAGAAAGAGGTTACTTGTCCAATATCATCGACACTGGTGGTCGCTCCCCCACTGGTGTTCTCTACTCTTATGTCCTCTGGCTAATGGTGCTCTGAGACGCCATCCGGCATGGAGCACGCTAGATAAATCCAAGTTGTTGTTGTTGTTGTTACTCTCATCCCATTCCCTGCTCTCTCTCTCTCTCTCTCCCCCCCATCGTGTCTGTGCTGGTGCTCGCTCCCCCCACCCCACTGGAGCTCTCTAATCCCGTTCCCCATCCTATTATCTGTCTTGATCCAATTCTCTTTGAAATCCTGTGAGGATCATTACCAATTATATTGAGGCGTTCCACATTATTACAATCCTCAATGTGAAAAAAAATTCCTCTAAATCTCCCATTTGTTTTCCCTCTAGTGATAATCCTCAATTTATATCCACTGGTTGATCACTCGGTGATCGGTTCCATTCATGACTCTGAAAAATCATTATTTATTACGGTTTCTAAGAAAAGAAAATAGAAAACTATTAAGGATTCTAATAGCTTTTCTTGAACTCGTGCCAACTGCTTAATTTTCCCGGTTACTTCCTCAGAGAGAGCGTTACTCTCCTTGTGTTTCTGTGTCATTGTTCAGGGTGAGATTGTTCTGCACAGGTCCATTGCTGTCTAGTGTCGTGGCTGTGTGTTTTGTGGGTGAATGTGCTAGCCAATTTGTGCACAACAATGTCCCACAAACAACTATAATAATAATAATAATAATAATAAACCTTGCATTTGATACAGCGCCCTATCAGGCTGTTGAGACATCTCAAAGCGCTTCACAGGATAAACTGTAAAGTGAATTGACTTGTGTTTTGTGAGCGAAACGCGGCAGCCAATTGCGCACACAGCAGCGTCCCCACAAACAGCGATGAATCGAGTGACCCCATTTTTTGGAGGAATTATTAGCCCCGGAAAGAGATCTGCTAATTGACTATGAAAGCGCTGACCAGTGTTCAGAGGAGTTCTGAAAAAGAGCCTTGTAAGAGAGCGATGATTGACGGTTCATGGTTTGCTGAGATGCTGAGGGAGGGAGTGGGGTGGGGGGGGGGGGTTGGGGAGGTGGCGGGGTGTGCGGCGGGTGGGGGGGTTGGTGGTGGGGGAGGATGAGAGTGGTGTGTGGAACGAGCACACTCACTAAGTGGGCCACTTCAGCAGACAGGCTGCTGCTAATGCACTAATGACTGTGGTCTGACGGGACAGCCTGGGGCCAGGGGATATTATACAGCGTCAATCCCTCTGCGCTCAGCACACAGCCCCCCTTTCCTCATTAATCTCCTGCGCTCAGTTCTGTGTCGTACTCCACCTCGCTCAGCACAGGGCTGCTGAGAGCAGCAGGACCAGACTCTCTTGCCCTCTAAAGGGAGATCGGAATCCCACAGAGATCCCCTTTAAAGCACTCTCCATTTCCCCTTAATCCCTCAGTAATCTCTTTAAATCCGGGATCAGGTCCCAGTGTTTCATTTTGCAATAAATCGTTATTGCATTTCTTTTGTCGTTATTATTTGTTCGTTGTTCATTACATTATAACAGCAATAATAATTACAATCCTTGATATTAATAATAATGATAATAATAATCCTTGCATTTGATACAGCTCCTCATCCCGTCGTCGAGACGTCTCAAAGAGCTTCACAAGATTTTGAGTCCTAGGAAGGCTTAAACACCCCAAAGCCCTCTCAGGAGATGTTCACTATAACCATATGTTGCCGAGTTCAATCATTTACCCGCATTAACTCTGACCTGTCCAGTGTGTCCACTCAATCTCCTTCCTAGAGAACTTCTGTGGAGTCCTGTAGTGTAGTGTTTAGCTCGCTCGCCTCGCAAGTGAGAGGGCCCTGGTTTGATTCCCCAGTGAGGGCGAAATTAAACCTTGGGCAAGGTTCCTTACTCCACTAACACCTCTGTTAACCAAGCAGCAAGTAGGAAGCCGGTTGTTTGTTGATTATCGGATCGCTTTCCGAGGGGTAAATAAAAATGTGGTCACTCGATCCACGACTGTTTATGGGGACGCCTCTGTTCGCAATTGGCTGACGCGTTTCGCCCACAAAACGTACAGCCACTCCACTTACGGTGTATCCCATGAAGCGCTTTGAGACGTCTCGACGACGTGATAAGGCGCTATGTCGAATGCAAGGATTGTTAGTCTTATTATTATTATTATTAATAACTTCGGACGCCGTGCACGTTTCGGTCTGGTTGTGTCTGTCGAGGAGCCCAACTAGAGGATTGTGGTTGGAAGGTCAGAAGAAGACGAGCCATGGAAAGAAATGTAATGAGGGGGGGATAAGTGGTGTGTATTAGCAAACGGTTCCCCCCCCCTCCCCACCTCCCTGGGGCAGTGCCCACCAGGAAGTGAGTAATCCGCTCCTGTGGTCAGACAAAGGCTAGTGAAATATTTATCAATCAACTGCAGGCTATTGATCGCTCTCCATCCTCTCTGAGAGAAACGTGCCACTAACTCACTAATCCTCGCAGGTCACTGAGAGCTGCTGCACTTTAAAGGGGTTTCCAGGCACTTTTACTCATTAATATTTCCTTTGTTGGCGTCTGTTATTATTCTTGTACAATATAAGGATGTGCTTCTTTCTCATGTTTCTGTGCACGTTGATCTCTGTGAGTGTGTTGGTGGGAGGGGGGGGGGGGGAGGGGGGGGTAATGATGTTTAAGCCCACACACCAGTGGGAGAGAGGAAAATAAGCGGATTTATTTAAAGCTTTGATGTGACTGGAGTTGCTGTTATTTTTCAGGCTGAGGCTCTGGGAGACGTGACTGGGAACAGAGAGAGAGTGGGGTCACCAGAAGACAACCCCCCCCCACCACCCCCCCCACCACCACCCCCACCCCACGCACACACAGGATGACGCCTTCACTTAGTCCTGTCTTCATGCTTTCTGTCATGAGCTGGCTAACAGGTGGGTAAGCTTTACGTGGTGGGGGTGGTGGGGGGGTGGGGGAGAGGGACATATTTGCAGTTATAATCCCTATGTTTGATCCAGCAACTTATTGCGTCGACGAGACGTCTCAAAGCGAGAACTCCACAGCATAACATCAAAAATGTGGTCACTCAATCCACGACTGTTTGTGGGGACGTCACTGCACGCAATTGGCTGCCGCGTTTCTCCCACGAAACACACAGTCACTGCACTTTATCCTGTGAAGCGCTTTGGGACGTCTGAACGACGTGATAAGGCCCTACATCAACTGCAAGGATTATTATTATTATTACTATTATTATTCTAACGCCAGGTGTTAGACGTTCCTTCAAGCTGGTATTTTTCTGCCGCTCGCCTTGGCGGCAGGAGGTGTAGAGTCGAGTCAATAATCAGTGGTGTTGACAGGAATAAGGAGACTTTGCCAAACCCCGGCAGTACCTGTGTGTAAACCTCGCTCTCAGCCTGAGCTACATTGCCTGGGCTCCTGTTACTGAGAAATCACGGCTTTAATATTCGCTGAGCAACAAAAAAAGGTTAATTAAACATGAAATGAGCAATTGATTCTGTCAGAAAGATTCCAATGGAGCCTCTCCTTCCCGCTTTGTGCTGAGCTTCATTTCCCGTGTGTTAGATGCGTGTTTGATGCGTGTTCTCTGCATGCTACTGTTTCTCTATGTTGCGTGCTGGTTGTTTGTGTGTGTGTGTGTGTGTGTGTGTGTGTGGACGTGGGTGCTGTATAAGTGGCGTGTGTGTCGCTGAGTGGGGTGCATTCGCGTGCTATTTGTGTGTGCTGGTGCACGTGTGCGCGTGTGTTCTCTACGTGTTGTCTTGCGTGCCGTCTGCGTGAGCTCCACACTGAACTCCACCCCGTGTTCAAGCCGTGGCCTGTCTGACTGATTGGCAATCACTATTCCTGTCTATTGACATCTCTCCCTTTCTCTCTCTGTCTCTCTCTCTCTTTCTCTCTCTCTGTCTCTCTCTCTGTCTCTCTCTCTCTCTCTCTCTGTCTCTCTGTCCATGTGCATCGCTCTCTCTCTCTCTGTCTCTGTCCGTGTGTATCTCTCTCTCGCTGTACATATCTCTGTCCGGCTCTGGTTGTCACTCTCTATCACTGTCTGTCTCCCCCACAATACCCTCGGGTCTGTTCGCATGACACAGAAGTCAAAACAGATATTATTGGTTTTGGCCTGTTTTGTGGTGTGTTTTTCTGGGATGTTAAACGTTATTCTTTATGGAGCCCGATTACAGTAACCGTGAACCACCAAAATCAATCATTTCCTATCTTTGCGTTGGGATAACTTTCAAAAGCAATTTCGAGTTCACTTGATACCCAGAAATGTTTAACCATCTTACGAGTTGTGGAGAAATGATCAGGTAATAAAAAGTCGATTCCCGTGTAGTTCTGTGAATCGCACAATTCTGCGATGAATTCCTTGAGACGTCTCAAAAAGTAATGAGGCGCTATATCGAACGCAAGTATTATTATTATTATTATAGATAAGCGAGGAATCTCAGTGATTATTAATAATGATAATACTAATATTCATCCTTGAACTTGATACAGCACTTTATCACAGCTTCGAGACGTCTCAGAACGCTTCACGGGATATACTGTAAAGCGAATTCAATGATAGATTTTTGTGGGCGAAACGCAGCAGCCAATTGCGCACAGCAGTGTCCCCACAAACAGTCGTGGATTGAGCGACCACATTATTATATTATTTTTTTGGGGGGGAAATTATTACCCCAAGAAAGCGATCCGCCAATTGACTAGCAACTGGGTTCCTTCTGACTGCAAGATACAGAGGCGTGTGGGTGTGGAGTAATGAAACTCGCCCAACATTTGCCGGGGAATCAAACCCAGGTCCTCTCGCTTGCGAGGCGAACGCTCTAACCAGGCGTGAGCTACGTGACTCCACAATGATAGATAAATACCAGGATTATCGTGAATTATTATTATTATTATTATTACTATGTTGTGCGTTACAGAGCGGGCCGCTGCTCACAGTGCGGCCAGGAGTTTGGGGCCAGTCTTCGAGGAGCAGCCGATGAACACGCTTTACCCAGAAGAGTCCGGGGAAGAGAAGCTGACGCTGGGGTGCAGAGTGCGAGCGAGCCCTCCCGCCACGTACAGGTACCCCACAGGCAGCCCATCCGACCGGACATATAGGACCTCATCTCCTACCTATCTCCCCATCTCCTATCTCTCCCTTTCTCTCTCTCTCTCTCTCTCTCTCTCTCATTCTTTCCCTTTGTGTAGGAGTGCCAGCCCTCCGCCACTGTGAAGGCCCGAGGAGCTCCTAGAACGCGGAGGAGACTGACACTGACCGCTCTGACCCCCTAACCGCTCCCTGTTTGTGGCCGGCAGGTGGAAAGTCAATGGGACGGAGATCGACCTGGAGGGGAACGGACGCTACAGTCTGGTCGGGGGAAATTTAGTGATTAAACACCCAGTGAGATCCCGAGACCCCGGCTCTTATCAGTGTCTCGCAACGAACCCCATCGGGACAGTCATCAGCAAAGAAGCTTTCCTTCGCTTCGGCTGTGAGTGTGTCGGTCTCTCTCTTTCTCTCTCTCACTCTCTCTTTCTTTCTCTCAACTCCAATTGCCCGGCCTTTGCCCCAGATCCCTGACCTAACAAACATCTACCCGCCTCGGTCTCATAAATTTGAATGGATCCAATATCCATTGCTACCAACATCCAGCAGATTAGCCCACAAAATACACAGTCACTTAACTTACAGTACATCCTGCGAGGCGCTTTGAGATGTCACGACGACATGATAAGACTCTGCATCAAATGCAAGGATTATTATGATATGATATTATGTTGATGGCAATTCATTCTGTATGGATTCATCTACAACACAGTGGGAACCTCAGATCCAAAGTTGCCTGTGTTTATTCCCAAACCGGACTCCACTGATTATATATCATGTCTCAAATTCCTGACATGCTGTAATGTATCCCAAAACATTATTCTCCAAAAGAAATCTATCTTTCTGCTTCCACCGTCTCCCCAGGGAGCTTGTTTCCGTAGATTTACCACTCGCTCACCGAGATAGTGTCTCCGCAGATCAGTCTTGAATTTACCCCCTTTTAGTACCTTCACTCCCTGGCACCTCCCTACCTCTCCAGCCCGCTTACTCCCCAACCCACTGCTCCGCTCGACCGGCTCCGGTCTCCTGCATGTCCCTCGTGCCCCCCGTTCCACCATCGGTGGCCGTGCTTTCTAGCCACTACGCCCCGAAACTCTGAATTCCTGTATCCCTCTGCCTTGCCCCTTCCTTCCCCATATTCAAGTCGCGCCTGAAGACCTTCCTCTTCGACCGGGGCCTACGGTCACCTCCTTCCTTCCCCCCTTGGCTCGGAGTCGTGCTCCGCCCCTGTCAAGCGCTCTGGGACGCTGCCCTGCGAGGGTGAGGGGGCGCCGGGTCAACACAAGTCGTTGTTGTCGTCATTCGATCACTGGCCTTGACCTCAGGTCCTACTGTTCTGTTCTCCTCAGATCTCTCACAGTTCCCCACAGAGGAACGAGATGCAATGAGGGTGACGGAGGGGATGGGGGTGGTCCTGCCTTGTAACCCACCTCCACATTACCCAGGTGAGCACTCGCTGTCTCTCGAAGGGGGATTGATTCCGAAGCCCACCCCCCCCAAGCCCAAGAAAAAATCCAGAGCGAAGGAACTCCCCCCCCCCCCCAACCTCACGCTGTGCCGAGCCAAGCTGAGACACTCTCACTATTTCCTCTGAAGTTCTATTTAATCCCCGACAAAGTTGTTAAACATGCGGACGTTTTATTCCGACCGTGCGCCCCCATTTTCAAGCGCTCCGGGACGCTACCCCAGTGTGAAGGGCGCTATATAAATCCAAGTTGTCGTTGTTGTATTTGACCCAGTTCCCCTCTGCCCTCTCCCCCTCTCTCTCTCTCTCTCTCTCTCTCGCCAGGCTCCTCGTACCGTTGGTTTTTCAACGACATCCCCAACTTCTTGACACCCAGTAACCGGCTGTTCATCTCCCAAGTGACCGGAAACCTGTACATCGCCAGGACGTGGGTGAACGACACAGGCGGCCACTCCTGCTACCTGACCAGCCAAATCGACTACGCCACCACCAGCGTCTTCAGCAAACCCATCCCTCTGGCCGTCCAGCCCGTGGGTCAGTGTTGGTGTTTTACCTCCCAATCCAATCCTGAAGTGCTGTAGTTGTAGTGGTCAGAGCGCTCTCCTCGCAAGCCAGAGGCCCCGGGTTCGGTTCCCGCCCGGGCAGGGCAGAAACTTAGGCAGGTTTCCTTACTCCACACACACACACTCCTCTGTTTACCAGCAGTAAGTAGGAACCTGGTTGTTAGTCGATTGGTGGATCGCTTTTCCAGGGGTAATAATCCCTTCCAAAAAAATATAATAATTTGGTCACTCGATCCACGGCTGTTTGCGGGGACGCTGCTGTGCGCAATTGGCTGCCGCATTTCGCCCACAAGATATATACAGTCACAGCTTGTGTGTCAGTGTCACACGGTCTGACTCAGTGTCCGTGCTCACTGTTCAGCGACCGACTGGGTAGTTGGGAAATCGGGAAAGCTTTGAGCACCTTAGATCCAGAGGTGCCTGGTTTCTTCCAAGCCACACTGCACTATCTATAATGTTGTCCCTCAAGTGGGAGATCCGGATTCCTGTATCCTCAAAATCCATCTCTCCTGTGATCTTGTCCTGAAGGTGATGCCAGGCAATACTCCCCAAACATCAAGGTCAAGTTCCCCTCAGAAATCTACGTGTTGTCGGGACAGATGGTGAACCTGGAGTGCTTTGCGCTCGGCAAGTAAGTGAATGGCTTCTGCACTTTACAGTGAACTTGAGACGTCCGTCCTCCCAAGGGAATGTGGGGGGTTGGGGGGTGGGGGTGAGTGGGGGCAAGTTAGAGGGATCGAGAGAAAGAGAGAGAGAGAGAGAGAGAGAGAGTATGTGTGTTGCAGAGTTTTGGGGCGCCGTCCAGGGGGAGCGATGTGTGGGCTGTGTCGTAGCTGTGACGTAACTGCTCGCTGTGTTTCAGCCCTGAACCCACTCTGCAATGGCGGAGGTTGGACGGGACGATGCCCTTCAAGGCCTCGGGGACCCTGACCGAGCCTGTCCTCCACCTGCCCGATGTCCAGTTCGAGGACGAGGGGACGTACGAGTGTCTGGCCGAGAACTCCCGAGGGAAGGACTCCGTGCAGGGCAGAATCATCGTCCACGGTGAGAGAGAGAGGGGGAGAGAGAGAGAGAGAGAGAGAGGGGAGAGAGGGGGAGCGAGAGAAAGAGAGCAGTCACACACTGCCATTGGGCTGGTCAGAGTCGAAGTGAGAGATGGAATGAGAGCGAGTGAGGAGAGCCTCGCTCTCGCACCCACTCGATCTCCTCTCTCTTTCTCTCTCTCTCTGTTAATCTCAGGCTTTTTTGTCTCTCTCTTTCACACTCTCTACCTCTTTCTCTCTCAATGTGTCTCAAATATATTCCTTTACGCTCGTATAGAAGCCGTGAAAAGCGCTATATCAAATGCAAGGATTATTATTATTATTCTCTCCGACGCTTTCTCTCTCTTACTCTCAGTTTGTCTCTGTGACACACGCACTCTCTCACTCACGTACACACCCCCTCTCTCTCTCTCTCTCTCTCTCTCTCTCCCTAACGCTCCCCTCTCTCTGTCCCAGCTCAGCCGGAGTGGTTGCGGATTATCAGTGACGAGGAGGCGGACATTGGCTCAGACCTGGAGTGGAGCTGTGCTGCGGCCGGGAAGCCCAGACCAGCGTGCCGCTGGCTGAGGAACGGGCTCCCACTGACCTCAAAGGTGCCTCGTTACCGTCCGCTCGCTCCAGCTCCCCGAGCCGTCTCCCTACACCGAGAGCCGTGTCATGTGCGCTGGAACTCTCTCCCTCTATCCCTCCGCCTTGCTTCTTCCTTCCTTCCTTCCTTCCTTCCCACCTTCAGGTCGGGCCTGAAGACCTTCCTCTTCATGGTTCCTCTCCGTTTATCGCCACAGTGTCTCACCATCACCCCCTCTCTCTCTCTCTCTATCTCTCTTTCCCTGTCACCAACCAGGGCCGAGTGGAAATTAACAACTGTGCCTTGAAAATCTTACGGCTGGTCCTGATCGATTCCGGAATCTACCAGTGCGTGGCCGGGAACAAACACGGCACCATTTACGCCAACGCAGAGTTGAAGGTTCAAGGTCGGTCAAGTTGCGGCCAAGTGTCTGACCCCCTCCCCCCCCGGAACCCCAGCACCGTGCTTAAGAGTCTCTGAAACTAGACCTATCTGTGTCCCCTACACGTAGAAATTTTCCTGTGGCTGGAATGGAATGCGCTCTCTCTCTCTTTCTCCCTCTCCCTCTCCAGAGAGATGAATCCTGCTCACCTCACCCTGGAAAGCATTTGGCACGGGTTGGCAGGAGGCAAGTGCTTGAGGGGACTCGCTGGAGACTAACCAGCCAACGCTGTATTGACAGCAAGCACTGCCTGGCCAGCGTTCCCGCTGCTTGTCCAGCTGGGGACCACCCTACCCCTCAAGGGCTCTGGCTGTGCGGAGTTAACGGGGAGCCATGTTGTTTCGCTGCAGTAATCCTATCTCTTTCCTCCGCAGCCTTCGCTCCCGAGTTTCAGTCCAACCCGGTGAGACGGTTGATCCCGGCTGCCCGAGGCGGTGAGGTGATGATCGAGTGTCGTCCTCGCTCAGCTCCCAAACCCACTGTCTTCTGGAGCAAAGGCACCGAGCTCTTGTCCAATAACTCCCGGTGAGTCCCAGCCCCTCGGGACGTCCTCCCGACGTGACAGGCCTTCCACACGTGTCATTGGCTGTTGATAGCGGGCAGGGAGGCCACAGACAGGACAAGTCACTGGGAACACCCAGCAGGTCCGGCAGCATCTATGAAGAGAGGAAAGTGGGTTAATGTTTCAGGCTAAGACCAGGTGGAATTTTGGACCTCCGCGATGTGGTGGAGTAATGTTGGCGTCACTGGTACTTGCACAGGGTAGACCTCTAGTGGATGGTGAGGGTAGTGCTGAAGTCTCTCATTATGTTACATTGATCCATATGGACTCACTCTGCACTGTGAAGTGAGGCTATGGTGTGTGTGTGGGGGTGTGTGTGTGGGGGTGTGGTGGAGGGGGTGAAGGGGTTCCCTCCCGCCCACCGATCCCGGAGCTTTGTTCCCACAGGGTGTCCATAGCGCTGGACGGAACGCTGAGGGTCAGGAATGTCAGCCGGAGCGATGAGGGGAGATACACCTGCTTCACGGAGAACTTCCTGGGAAAAGCCAACAGCACAGGAACAGTGTCCATCAGAGGTCAGTGTGATCGGGGCACAGGAGACCTGCAGCTCAGTGGTTAGAGCTCTCGCCTCGCAAGCGAGAGGACCCGGGTTCGATTCCTGGTCGGGGAGAAACCTTAGACAAGTTTCCTCACTCCACACACACGCCTCTGTTCACAGCAGTCAGTAGGAACCCGGTTGTTAGTCATTTAGTGGATCACTAACGTGAGGCAATAATCCTTTCAAAATAATAATAATACTTTGGTCACTCAATCCACCACTGTTTGTGGGGACGTCGCTGTGCGCAATTGGCTGCCGCGTTTCGCCCACAAGATACACCGTCACTACACTTGATAGTGTAACCCGTGAGGCACTTTGAGACGTCTCGAAGACGTGATGAGGCGCTGTGTCAAATGCAAGAATTATTATCATTAAGTTTTGATGTCACTGGAACTGTATCAAGTAATAAGAATTATTATTACCGTACGTCTCATTTGCCTTGATGTCATATCAAGGTTTCTCCCTGAGAAAAGCAAGGATTATTATCATCTCCTTCCTGCCATCCTTGCTCACCTGCCACCCTTCCCACCGTTCTCTCGCAGAAGCCACGAAGATCACCCTGGCTCCAGCCAACGCAGACGTCAACCTGAATGAGAACATCACCCTGCAGTGTCACGCCTCCCACGACCCCACCATGGACCTGACCTTCACCTGGTCTGTGGACGGATCCCCCATAGACTTTGACCGGATGGGACAGCATTACCGACGAGCTGTTGCGGTGAGTAGATGGGCCCCGAGATCGGCATCCGATGGGCGCAACGTGGAGCCCCGAAGCGTAGCGGTTAGAGCTCTCGCCTCGCAAGCGAGAGGACCCGGGATCGATTCCCGGGCGGGTCAGGGCAAAACCTTAGGCCAGTTTCCTTACTCCACTCACACGCTCACACACACACACACACACACACACACGCTCGCACACACGCTCACACAAACACACACGCTCACACACACACACGCTCACACACACACACACACGCGCTCACTCACACACACACACGCTCACACACACGCACACCCATTCCGGGGGTAAAAATCCCTCGGAAAGGAGAGGAGGGGTGGGGGCTGGGGGTGGTGGAGGCCTTGTTCGTTGACATACCATTAATTTGTGAGACGTCCATTCAGATAAAGTAGCTGCAGAGTGAAGGATTAGACGGGCGCTCGACAAGTCATTTATTGATGTGCCACAAAGAGCTTTACTGGCATTAATGCTGCATTTATCTGTAGGAAACCAGAAGTCTGTTATTTAATACTGAGCCCAACGATCCCCAAAGGGATTGGCAGTCTCTCTCTCTCTTTCTCTGTACATATCTCATGCCTAGAAATAGCACAGATTTAGTAAGTGTTTGTGACGGTCGTGAATTTGAAAATAAATGTTCAAACTACGGCAACTTGCAATGTTAAAAGAAACATTGTGGAGTCCTGTGGCTCAGTGGTTAGAGCACTCGCTTTGCAAGTGAGAGACCTGGGTTCAATTCCAGGCAGAGGGCGAAACCTTGGGCAAGTTTCCTTACTCCACACAGAGCCTAATAATAATCCCTCCAAAACCAAAAACAATAATAAATTGGTCATTTTCAATCTACGACTGTTTGTGGGACATTGCTGTGCGCAATTGGCTGCCGCGTTCGCCCACAAATATACGGTCAATTCACTTTACAGTGTGTTCTGTGAAGCGCTTTGGGACGTCCTCCCGACGTGAAAAGCACTGTATCAAATGCAATGATTATTATTATTATTATTATTATTATCTGCCTTCCTTCCTCAGCCACCACTCCCCTGAAACTCTGGAATTCTCTCCCTCAATCCCCTCCCCACGTTCAAATCCCGCCTGAAGACCTTACTTTTGGATCTTGCTTAGGGTCACTGCCCGCCCCACCCCCCCCACCTCCCCCCCTCTTTCCCCCCCGAGCTCGGGTTAGACTCCGCCACTGTCAAGCGCTCCGAGACGCTACCTCGCGTGTTGTTTACACCCCTTTGCCTATCTCTGCCCAACAGCGGGAAGCCATCGGAGACCTCACCATCACTCACGCGGAGCTCCGACACGCCGGCACATACATGTGCACCGCACAGACCGTGGTGGACAGCACTTCCGCACACGCTACCCTGGTCGTCAGAGGTAAACTTTTACCGTCAATTCACTGTGCAGTGTGTCCTGTGAAGCGCTTTGAGACGTCTCAACGACGTGCAGTGCAAATTGTCAGAGACACATTGTTGTTGGTGTTGGTGTTGATGTTCAAGCGCGAGGGCCGCTACCCCACGTGAAGGGCGCTATGCGAAGGCAAGTTGTTGTTGATGTTGTTGATGATGCTGTTGTTGTTGTTCATGTTGTAGGACCTCCCGGGCCAGCAGGGGGCGTCGTGGTCAAAAAAGTCAACGACTCCTCGGTGTTGCTGAGCTGGAGCCGAGGTTCCGATAACCACAGCCCCATCGGCAGCTACAACATCCAGGCCCGGGCTCTGCTCTCCCAGGAGTGGAGGAACGTCAGGACAGGTGGGTGTTGGGACCTCTTCCCGACCGGGAAAGGGTGTGACACAAATGCCATTTTGTACTTGTATTGTACATCAACCCCAGAACGTCTGAGCCACACTGTCAGACCTGTTAACAGTGACAAAGTAATTTGATAGGGAGGGAGGGAGGGAGATATTTCAATTCCTCTGGTTTTCTGGTGCTGTTTGGCCTCATTGCTCTGTTCTTCATCCCTCCGCTCTCTCTCCCCCCGCGCCCCCCCATCTCTCTCTCTCTTTCTCGCGTGCCCCCACTCGCTCTCCTTCGCCCCTTCTCTCTCTCTCTCTCTCTCTCTCTCTCTACACCCCCACCCCACCCCACTCGCAGCTCCTCAACACATAGAAGGCAACGCCGAGTCGGCCAGAGTGGTCAACCTCACTCCGTGGATGGATTACGAATTCCGAGTCACGGCCAACAACATCCTGGGGACGGGTGACCCCAGCCTCCCCTCACAGGCCGTCCGCACCAAAGCTTCCGGTGAGTGGGGGGTGGGGGGGTGGTGGCAGCGAATGCCTTTGGAACCAGTGGGGAGGGTGAGGGGGTGGAGGAGGTGATCTCCCACGTTGTCATTGTTCCTGAGTCACGGGTCATGGTGAACTGTGTTGACGTGTTGTGTGTTGGGATCAGTCTGACCGCCACCTCTCATGTCCGTTGAGATGAACTCTGGCTCTTACCCGCACAGCTCCCACCGTGGCTCCGTCCAGCATTGCCGGCGGAGGGGGCGACCGGCACGAGGTCGCAGTCACGTGGACGGTAAGTGCTGAGAAACAGACTGTTGCTTGAGACTTTCCCGTACTTCACCTCACCTCACCTCACCAGGCCAGGCCAGGCCAGGCCAGGCCAAGCCAGGCCAAGCCAAGCCAGGCCAAGCCAGGCCAGGCCAAGCCAAGCCAAGCCAGGCCAGGCCAAGCCAGGCCAAGCCAGGCCAAGCCAGGCCAAGCCAGGCCAAGCCACGTCCAACCTAACCTGCGAGCTCAGCTTCAATCAGGCCAACTTTCTTTACCCGTTAGTTGTCCTCCTACCGATCAACTCGCTCCCTCCGCCCAGCAGCCCACTCCATGTCCCCTACCCGACCCACCCCACCATCGCCAGTCGGGCCTTCAGCCTCTCTGACCCCACCCTTTGGAACTCCAATCCCACAACCCCTTTGACTCTCCACCCCCACCCCCCACCTTCAACCAACTGCGCCTTTGGTCGGTCACCCTCCTACCCCCCACCCTCCCCCTGCTCTCCAGCCCCTCCTGATCCCAACTCGGGTCAAAATCCCTGACTGTCCAGCGCCTTGGGACGTCCTCCCGACATGAAAGACGCCGCTGGATATAAATGCAATGTGTTGTTGTTGTTGTTTTAAGCCGGTGCAGCGGGAATACCAGAACGGCCCCGGGTTTGGTTATGTCATCTCGCTGCGGAGGCAAGGGACGGAGCAGTGGGTGACGGCCAGGGTGGCAGGCGCTGAATCCACACAGTACGTTTACCGCAACGACACCATCGGGCCCTACACCCCCTTCGAGGTGAAAGTCAAACCGTTCAACAGTGAGGGCCAGGGGCCGTTCAGTCAGGTGGCCATCGTCCACTCGGCCGAGGAAGGTACGTCCGTCCATCGCAACCGAGACCCTCACCCTCGCTCTCCTCATCTCCCGCCTCAACCTCTAGTCCCACGCCCTCCTCTCCGGCCCCACCAACCTCCGAACTCCAAACCGTTGCTCGAAAGTGTTGTGACCGCACGTTTTTCATATTAATTGTTCTTTTGAAGGGATTATTTTCCCCCCGGAACAGTGATCCGTCAGTTGACTGACACCGGGGTTCCCACTTTACCCCTCGGTAAACAGAGGCCGGGAGCAGAGGGATGGACTCTCACGCTCTCTCTGAACACGGGAGGGTTTCGAGGGCTTTTCTTCGGTTGCCTGTTAACGCGGCAAATTCTCGATCTTCCTCAGAACCCAGCGTCGTTCCCTCGAGGGTCTCGGCCACCAGCCTGTCCTCCACGGAGATGAAGCTGAGCTGGGAAGCGGTGGAGCAGGTCACGAGGAACGGCATCCTCCTGGGCTACGAGGTGAGATACACAGGGAAACAGCAACACTGACATTTAGGAACCTTTAGCGACTACCAGACAAAGCCAGACGACCAAAGTTCACCTGGTTTGCCTTCTCCCATCCCGGTAGCCGCTTACTACAATAATATGGGTGTGTTTTCCAGCCCGCGGGGGGTCAGACATGTGCGGAAACCCATCCAAACCAAGCTGAGGATTCCCAGTCCTCTTGTGTCGCCTTTGAGACGCTCTGTGTGTGTGTGTGTGCGTGAGTGTGTGTGCACGTGTGTGTGTGTGTGTAGAAGGTGATGGAAAGTCAGAGATCTGTAGAAATGTCCTGTTTTGTTGTTGCCGTCTCCAAAGATCAGATACTGGAGAGAGAACGACAACGAAGCAGCGGCCGATCGGGTCAGGACCCTCGGCCTCGAGACCACCGCCCGAGTGTCAGGTCTGCGTCCGCACACGCTCTACCACGTGGAGGTCCGAGCCTACAACAGCGCTGGCACCGGCCCTCCCGGCCCCTCCACCGTCATCACCACGAAGAAAGCTCGTACGTATGGCTCTCGTCTTAATAATAACAATAACAATAATAATTGCAATGAATAATGATCCTTGCGGTTGACACGACGCCTCATCACGTCGCGAGGACACCCCAAGGCGCTGACGTCCCAATGCACTTCACAGCATGTCCTGTAAAGTGTAGTGACTGTGTATTTTGTGAGACAGTAAGTGTCCACAACAACAGTGATACCTTCCAGGAGATACAGCAAGTGCAACGATGGAGTTAGGGACCAATTTTTCTGTCTGGGGGGCAATGTCTGGCAGAAAGTCCCTTCTCTTTTCAAATTGCACCGCGGGAACTTTAACGTCTGCCTGAACAGTGCACAGATGGTGTGGGTGGGGGTGTGGGGGAAGGTGTGGGGGAGTGGGGTTTAACTTCTCTTCTGAAGAACCCCAATTTCTCCACCTATCCCCCCCCTCCCAACCTCCACCCCCGCCCCAGAGAGACGATAAAGTGGAGACATTGGCGTGAGGAGTGAATGGGTGGTGGGTGGGTGCGGGGGGTGGGGTGTGGGAGGGGGCGAACCTGTGCCGGTCCGGATGAAAGACTTGACGTCTCCGTGTCTTTCCAGCTCCGAGCCAGCCGCCCGGGAAAGTCTCCTGGAAATCCATCGGCTCCTGGATCCGCATCAAGTGGGATCACGTCAAGGCTCTGGAGAACGAATCCGCTGTGGCTGGATACAAGGTGCGGTTGGTGTCCGTCAGAGCCTCAGCCCTGGCTCAGTCGCTCATACTCACACTGACACACTCACTCACTCTCACACTCACTCTCACTCCCTCACTCTCTCACACACACACACTCAAACACTCACACATTCACACTCACACACTCACCCTCAAACTCACACACTCACACACTCCCACACTCACGATCCCACCCTCGCCTTGGCCTCTGGGTAAGAAGGTCGTGGGGGTTTTGAGCTCACAGTTTAGGCCGACTGTCCCATCACAACAACAACAACACATGACATTGACACAGCAACTGCCTTTCATGTCGGGAGGACGTCCCAAGGCAATGGACAGTCTGGGATTTGGACCTGAAATGAACAGTGGGATCAGGACGGGAGGGCAGGAAGGGAGGGTGGGAGTAGGAGGGTGACTCAAGGTCTTGAGACGGGCCTTGATGGAGGGGAGGGAAGGGGAATCGAGGTGAAGTGACTGTGGAATTGAGTTCCAGAGGAGGGGGCAGAGAGGCTGAGGGTGAGTGGATTATTACATTGCTGGGATGCAATGCTGTGGAGGGAGTACAGTACCCCAGGACTGTGCTGGAGGGTCAGGTCATGGTGTGGGCTTGGGTGAGGATGGCTCTGACCTCTCCGCTGATCGCTGCAGGTCCTGTATAAATCGGACGACCAATCAGGCATCAAGTTGGTGGAAACCAGCAAGAACTCTGTGCAGCTGCCGATGGCTGAGGACATGAGTTACCTGGTGGAGATCCGGGCCTCGGGGGAAGGTGGGGACGGAACGCCCACCAAAGTCAGGATATCCAAACACTCAGGTGAGGGTCATCCCTCGGGAATTGAGGTCAAACGTTCGTTTGGGCCACCGCGGCAGCCATTTTGCTGGAGGACCCGGGTTTGATTCCTGGGAAAGGCGTAAACTTAGGCAGGTTTCCTTACTCCACACACACACACACACACACACGCGCCTCTGTTCACCTGCAGTAAGTAGGAACCCGGTTGTTAGTCGATTGGCGGATCGCTTTCTGGGGGTAAAAATCCCTCAAAAAAAAATTGGGTCACTCAATCCACGACTGTTTGTGGGACCCTGTTGTGGGCAGTTGGCTGCCGCGTTTCACCCACAATCTGTGAATATATTTTGAGACGTCTCAACAACATGATGAGGCGCTACATCAAATGCCAGTATTATTATTATCATTATTATTAGTATTATTATTATTAATGTTACTGTTACAATGAGGAACAGTCCCCCTGTTTAGGATCCCTCCGCCAGTGGGAAGAGTTGGCCACTGTCTATCTTGTCAATTCCACATCATTGCTCTTGAACCATCTCCTTGTTGTTCACCCCCAGGTACCGGCATGATGGTCGATTACTCAGGGGTTGAAGCGTTGCGCAGTGCTCTGGCCACAGTGATACTGACTCTCAGTGCAGTCGGGTGTCTGAGCCTCTGACAACCGCGACTTGGCTCCCAATCGACAGCTTTGCACCGTTTTCTTCCCTCCAGCGTTGGATCCTCCCCGTCCGTCAAAACGTTTGTAGAGTCGTCGGGGGTGGGTGGGGGTTGGGGGGAGAGAGGTGGGGGTGGGGGTGTAGGGGAGGAGTGTGGGAGGGGGGCTGGGGGGGTTGGGGGGGGTAAACAAATAAACTAACCCGCAACATTTGTCTCGCACCAATTTTAAAGTCGAAGATTTCATACCATTTCAGGGGGTGAGGGAGAGAGGGGCGGTGGGGGGAGAGGGGAGGTGGGGGGAGAGGGGCGATGGGGGGAAAGGGGAGGTGGGGTTGGGGGAGAGAGGGGAATTGTCAAGTTAAATTGAAAGAAACTCACAACAGAAACTTATTTTGAAAAGAAAAACAAAGAGATAAAGCAGATGAAGGTTTTTTTCCCCATCACAATGGGGGAATATTGGACAGTTTGCCTGAATGGGACAAACTGCTGTGCACAATTGGCTGCCGTGTGTCCCTCACAAAATACGCAGTCACTCCACTTTGCAGTTTATTCCATGAAGCGCTTTGAGACGTCTCGAAGACGCGATGAGACGTCATATCAAATGCATACTATTATTATTATTATTATTATTATTATCCATCTACTCTTGTCTGACACTGTTATGTTACTGAGAAGAGAGTGTGGCGATACCCACAGGAACACAAGGGAGTAACGCTATAATGAGTTCACCATTACGTGGGGATTTTTTTGGGTGGGGTGGGGGGAGGAGGGGGGATGGGGGAGGGACGGGGGTTTCTAACGCACCCGAAGGCCGAGTTGTATAAAGCAGTCTTTCTTTTTACTATGCACATTCTATTGTATATTTGTACATACAGATCGAAGGGAGGAGGTGTTAGTCGCCAGTGTCCAACCCTCTAACAGGGGGCAATGTTTGACATATCGCAGCTCTTCTGGACATCAACATTACTCTACACTCCATTCGAAAAGTATTGAGTCTTAAGTTGGGAGGAGGGAATTAGATCTTTGTGGAGTCCTGTAGTGTAGTGGTTAGATAACTCGCCTCGCAAGCGAGAGGACCTGGGTTCGATACCTGGGGGGAGTGGGGGGGCAAGTTTCCTTACTCCATGCACACGCCTCTGGTTACCAGCAGTCAGTAGGAACCCGGTTGTTAGTCGATTGACGGATCGCTTTTCCGGGGGTAATAATCCCTTCAAAAAGAAGAATAATTTGGTCGCTCAGTCCACGCTGTGCACAATTGGCCGCCCCCACTCAAAGATGTGATAAGGCGCTCTATCGAATGCAAGGATTATTATTATTGTCTCTGAGGGTTTAGTTAGCGATGGCTCTGTAGCGATGGGTGTGTGAGGGGGGTGGGTGGGAGGGAGGGGGTAGAGTAGGAGGTGAGCGTGACGCTGAAGGTAGCAGATAGTTCCTAGCAGTAGAGGTGAGCGATGTGTCAGTTTGTCAGAGGAGGAAGAGAGGGCGAGTGTAACGGAAGGCTCGAGGGTCTTCAGCCCTTTTCCCCGAAGGAAATTATTAAACGGTTTGTCAATTGTGTTTTGGAGGATTCCTCAGCTGTACAGAAAACATGTGTGTGTGTGGCGGGAGTGTGTGTGTGGGGTGGGGTGGGGGGGGGATTGAAGCCAGACCTTTGAAAGGATGGTGGAATAGTCTCGGAAACGTCAGGGTTAAAGGAATTGAAGTACTTGCTCCCCAGAGCGAAGGGGAGAGCACGGGAAGCCCCCTCCTGATCCCAACCCCCAGCTCGGGTCCAAGTCCTTGACTGTCCAGCACCTCGGGACGTCCTCCCGACGTGAAAGGCGTCGTGTAAGTGTCATGTGTTCTTGTTGATTCCTGGTTCCCAGCTGGGCTTTAAGAAAAGGCCCCAACTCTCTCCCCCCACCTCCCCCCCGACCATCAAACCCACCCATCTTGTCTAACGTTCATTCCCTTTTTTATATCCAGTGTCAGTCAATGGGCTGGAACCATTCACTAAAACAATTTAAATTCATGGCAAACTGTGAGACATTGTTGAATGTTAAATTTTGTCTCAATCTGCAAAGTGTTTTTCCTCCCCACTTCCCTCCCTGACCCCATTCCAAATTCCCTTACTCCACACGCGGCTCCGATTTCCCAGCAGTAAGCCCGGTTGTTAGTCGATTGGCGGATTACTTTTCTGGGTGTAATAAATCCTTCAAAAAAAAATACAAATAATAATTTGGTCACTTCAACCCACGACTGTTTGTGGGACGCTGCTGTGCGCAATTAGCTGCCGCGTTTCGCCCCCAAAACGCACCGTCAATTTACTTTGCAGCATATTCTGTGAAGCGCTTTGAGACGTCTCGAAGAAGTGATACGGCGCTACATCAAGTGCAAGGATTATTATTATTATTATTGTTATTCCTCCCCCCACAACCCCCCACCCTCCCCGTCTCCAGTTTCTTAAACAGAAGAAACCGACAGTTCCAAATAGAGACAGGGTTTCCGATTATGTTATTTATTCATATTTTTTACTCACACTTTTCTGCGTGTTTTCAGGGCGAAAAAAATAATCGGGCCACCTGTCTGGGACCAGGTGGAATTTCGAGGCCTGGGGGCGCCGGGACAGGGGGTGGGTGGGAGGGGGCGGGAGAGGTGTGAGGAGTGAGGGAGCTCCTCACAACACAACACAAAGGCCGGAAATCATGGAGCACAAGGAAATCCCAGAGATAGGTTGTTGGAACGGAATGTGCGCTCTCTCTCTGTCTCTCTTTCTCCCCGGAGGGACACATTGATTGCTGTTGGATCTGTTTGATGGACCCATTGGTGGTGTCGTGACAACGATCCTGATTGAAGGCCTATCTCACTCCGCAGATTAGAGAGGGTCGGGCACTAAAGCGGGGGGTGCCTGTGTCTGGTGGTTGCTCATTGCTCCAGGAACTGCCGAGGTGTAATCGGATGGGCTTGTTTAACACTGAGCTCTTTGATGATTCCTTTGGCCAACAATTGGGGGTAACCAAGGAGGGGGGGGGGGCACCTCCTCCTCTGTCCTGTTCCGAGCCCCCGGTTGTTTTTTCCCAGTCACTGCACCTGCAATCCTTGCATTTGATACAGCGCCTCATCACGTCTTCGAGGCGTCTCAAAGCGCTTCACAGGACACACTGTAAAGTGAATTGACTGCGCAGTGACTGATGTATTTTGTGGGCGAAACGCAGCAGCTGATTGCGCACGGCAGCGTCCCACAAACCGTCGTGGATTGAGTGACCCAATTATTATTTTATTGCTATTTTAATAATTAAAGATTTTTTTTTGTTAATGTCGTGGTCTGAGGTTGGAGTGGGGGGAGCCGGAGGTCAGGAGACGAGAAAAACTGGGATAGATTGCGGTGTTAAGTCACGTGTAAACCATGTATGCATTTTGCGCCGCGTGTAAATACATGTGCACAGAGGGAATCACAGGTGTCCTCGATTGTGTAATTCACACACAAATGTTTTTTATTTAATTGCATAATTAAATCTTCCCTCTCCCCAGCAACACCCCCCCCACCCCCACACCCACACATTTCCCTCTGTGCAACGTATCTTCACGTGGTTTGCGTACGGCTCATAACAGATGCCCAAATTTCACCACGAACAGTCGCGGATTGAGTGTCCAAAATGAGGACACCCAATCCACGGCTGTTTGTGGGGACGCAATCGGCTGCCGCGTTTCACCCACAACATACACAGTCACTGCATTTGACAGTAAATCCCGTGAAGCGCTTTGAGCCGTCTAGAAGACGTGTTAAGGCGCGATATCAAATGCAAGGATTACTGTTGTTGTTATTGTTATTATTTCTGTAACTCTGTCAGGACCCAGAGTAAAAATCAGTTGAAAGAAAGAGAGAAACTCCGAAGCTTTCTCTCCACGTCGCGTTTCAAATTGCTCCGAATATCGAAAGGAATGTAGAATATCGTATTTCATTTATACAGTATAACAAGCCTGGACATTCAGAGAATCTCTTCCTAATAAAGAATTACACGGATGACTGACTACCGGACTTGTGTGATCATTATTCCTAAAGTGTCTGGTCCTGTCTCTTCTCACCCAAATTGAAGCGTAAATACTGGAGATTGTGTAGGTGTGCACTCAAGCCTCACCGCAAATATTTCAGGAGAAGGCCGGTAACATGTTATTAAAATAAACCTTGAAACAGATTACTGAGAGTCCTTAAAGCCGAGAACATTTCGGAATGATTCCAACCTCCCCCCCCCTCCTCCTCCCCAATGGATGGTCAACGTGATGCTCACACTGCGATGTAAGTACAAAAGCACTGACTGATGAAAGAGTTTAAGGATATCCCATAGGATTTCCTGGAGCAAGTCCCTGGATTGTTTCCCGGTAGCTGACGTGGAGCTGCCCGGAGCCTATGTTGCATGAAATCTCCCACTGGGCACAATATGCTTATTGGCTTTGCAAACGAGCACAGAGGCAGGATTTACTGAATGACTTCCTGCCCGAGCTATTGGATGGGTGGGGGTGGGGGGGGGCCTTTGTGTTTGGTTTATTTATTGGAATCCCTCAGTGTGGAATACGTTATTTCCCAAACGCAGACCAGGCAGCGAGGCGAGCAGTCATTCAATGAGGCAACCAGTAAACAGCTCGCGAGCAAAATCCTCGTTGAGCCAGAGATTGGTAAACAGAGTCGATCTCCTCCTCGTTTCCTCCTCACCCTCCTCAGCCCACCCTCCGTCTCCGCCCGCCTACCCCAGCCAACCTAAACAAACAAGCCCATCTCACCTTAATCTGGCCCAAGCCGGCTGTGACTGCCAGTGGGTCAGTGAGCAACGAGGTGAGGTTCCAATCTCAGACTGCATCCCCCCCCCATCCCCGCACCCCCCACCCACTTTCCCTTCATCGTTTCCGACACCGCACAGTCGCTTTCCGCTCCCCGGAACATTCTGGGACGTCCCACGACGCAAAGCTTCGGACACGACGGACAACAATAGTTGAGCTCAAACTTTATTAACTGTGAAAAAAAATACATAACAGTAATACAGCGCTCACAGAAGTCACGTCAGATGGGACCAGACATAATATAGACTTCAATATAGACTCAATGTAGACTTACGCAAAGTATGAGTTGTGTCAAATTTGCATAGAATATAAACTCTAGATGATTATAATAAATAATAATCCTGGCATTTGATACAGCGCCTGATCAGGTGTTGAGACATCTCAAAGCGCTTCACGGGATACACTGTAAAGTGGAGCGACTGTATATTTTGTGGGCGAAACGCGGCAGCCGATTGTGCACAGCAGTGATTATACGATTTGTACAGATCAGACTCGGGCGGGTTTTATTGTAATAATAATAATAATAATCTCTCATCTCCTTTTCAACGTGTATAAGATTAACAGTCCCACGATGGTCCCAATGGTGCCCCCAATGCCAACAAACCTCAAGTTACTGTTAGTGTTTGTGAAGAAACTGTTGAAAAATTCCCACCATCGTTTGATCTTCCCCTTCTGGATCGCTGGCACTTGCTCCCCCTCCATCATCTCCAGCTTCTGCTGGGCCGACAGGGCTTTGAAGAAGTCCAACTCCACCAGACCCGCTGGGAGCACCCTGATGGCGTTGAGAATCTGCTTCACCACCTCCATGGTTTGACTGTTCTGCACCTCGCACATGTAGGTGCCAGCGTTCCTCTCCTGCACGGGCTTCACCGGTGAGAAAAGGGGCAACAATAATAATAATAATAATCCTTGCACTTGATGGGGGCCTTATCACATCTTCTAGACGTCTCAAAGCGCTTCACAGCCAATACTGCAAAGCGAGTTGACTGTATATCTTATATTTCTGTATATTTCCATATTAAGTCTTGTTAGGGGATTAATAATAATAATAATAATCCTTGCATTTGATACAGCGCCTGATCACATCATCGAGACCTCTCAAAGCGCTTCAAGGGATACGCTTTAAAGTGTAGTGACTGAAGCTTATCAGCTAGAGGAGTGCAATATCCCTGAAACTCACCGTGAAACTTATCAGCCAAGGGGCCTTGGTGTACCTCAGTGGGTAAGGTCTGAAGAAAAAATTATCTGTGGTCACGACCCCCTTTGCTATCCTCCAAATAAAGGTGAACTCCGTTAACCCTACACTCTCCATGGTTTCATCGACGCAGCTGAGGTTCAGGCCGGTGCCCGCTGTGAGGGTCCTGGTGGTCAGCCCGCACTCCTTGCTGACGAGGCACAGGGCTTTCTCCAGAATGCATTCGGTCGTGTTGCCCACCTTGTCCACCCTGCACCGGTATTCCGACCTCCAGCCCAAGCCGCAGGTCTTGCTGCAGGGGCTGGCGCTCATCAGGAGCACCCCCGTGACAGTCACGTTCTGTAGCTCGGGAGGTGCCGTAACCCACTGGCCGTCTTGGTGCGAGCGAGCGGGGAGAAGGGCTGAGAGGATCAGGGCCCCAGCGTAGGAGAGCAGCATGGCTGCCTTGGCTGGGTGGGTGGGTGGGGGGTCTTGTTCTTGTCTAAGGGGCTTCAGGTGTCTTTGTTACATCAGCACAATGGGACATTGGGAACAATATGGTGTTGAGGTGACAGTGTGACACCCCCCAAACTCCAGTCGGTTGGTGTTTAATAAGAAGCTTTTTTCCCTGAATCAACACAGCCCCACTTCTTCATTCGATTTTTTTATTTTAAAAAAAATTAGACAAAACAATGCTTTGAGAATAACTCAAGCAGTTAATTGGGAGCGGGTGGGGTGGGGGGGGGGGGGGTAGAAGAGGAGAGGAATAGAAAAATGATTACCCGAGATTTAAAATAATCAATGCGTAGATTGAGCCGTTTTCACCGAAGCGACACCTTAGAAACAAAAATGTTTTAAAAAGCAATGATTGCTCAGTTTGCACCTGTGTTCCTGGTGAACAGTCAGGAGTGTTCAATCAGTCCTCTGACCAGAAATTGCTACGTATCTCACTTTTCTCATCAGCGAAGCGTTGTGTTAATAATAATCCTTGCATTTGATAGAGCACCATATCACGTCTTCGAGACGTCTATAAGCACTTCAGATTATATTGTGAAGTGAATTGACTGCGTATATTGTGGGCCAAACGCAGCAGCCGATTGCACACAGCAGCGTCCCCGCAAATGGGTGTGGATTGAGCGAACAAATTATTATTATTATTTTTTTGAAGGGATTATTACCCCCGGGAAAGTGATCCGCCAATCGATTAACAACCGTGGAAAATTGCTTAATGTTTCACCCTGCCCGGGAATCAAACCCAGGTCCTCTCGCTTGCACTCACCACTGCACTACAGGGCTCCTTTTCAAAGACTGTGACATTCTCGGAGTGCTGTCAAACACGGGAATTGTTAATCACGGTGTTTTCGAATCACTGGGAAAACCCACTGGAGAGATTAAACCATAGAATGAAAAGCTCTTGGGCCTTTACGAGGTCTGAAGCGAGTGAAAAAGTCACCTTTTCAACACTGATTTCCGTAACATGCAAACGTGGAAACACACACGTGTGTGTGGCTTTTATACTTAAGGCACACCTCTAAGGGCAAGTGGTCTCAAAGCGTCAAATAAAAAGGAACATCAAATGGACAGAGGGTCTTTCAGAAAGAAGCCGGGAAGTTGTACAAAGCGGAACTCCGACCGAACCAAACACTGGGAAAGATAAGAAACCAAATCACTTCGACTCGACAGTAATTACAGTATTTATGAGACACTCGGGAGACATGATGAGGTGCTATAACAACACAGGTCTTTCCTTTGCTTTAAGGTTTATCACTGGTACTCAAGGCTGCTGACACCACACAAATACAACTTTACGTCACTCGGGCATAAGAGAAAACAGTACTGGACTAGATCCGGTCTGACCCGGGAGATTTAGGTACCAACCTACCCGCACCCCCATCGGGCATACACAGCTGCTGGTGAGAAACCTTTGTATTTTTAAGTCATGTGTATGAGGGCGACCAGGTGTAATCCATCTCTCGACCCCATCTCCCTTCACGCGAGGATCAGTATATGGCTTGAGCAAGTGTGACCCCCTTGTCACAGGCAGCATGTATTTGGCACATTATGCTGTGGTTTCGTAGTCAGGCGGGTCCTTCTTATAACTACATCTTGGGTGAGATTTCAAAACCCACTGCAAGGTGAGCAATGCCAGCGCTGGGAGAGGGCGTCAGCCTCTCTGTATTACGGAGATGTGTGGTTCTGACAGCTCTTGGGGAGGGGAGGATCGCAAAGGGTCAGCGACTGCAAACACATCCAGTTTGTAGAAGACTGGACTGAGATAACAGCACATCCACCATCTTGCCCAGAAGAGGCTGTACAGGCATTGAAGAGATTGGGGATGAAATGGAAGGAACGGAGGGAAAAGGACACGGCTATATACGCGCGCTCACACACACCCGCACACCCGCGCGCACAGAGGAAAAACTCACCAGCAATCTGCGCTTCCGATTCCAGGAACGATTGCTTTTAAATGAAAACAACATCAACTCAACAACGTACAAGTTCGGAGGACAGCGAGAGAGAGAGAGAGAGAGCGAGAGAGGGATTAAAAAAAGTCTAGGACGTCAATTGTCTTTTCACTTAATTAGCTGGCGAATTGTCAACAAACTAATGCTACAAAGGTATAGAACCTGTTCTTGTACAAACAGACGGCAAAGGTTTGTGTGTGTGGACTTGTATGTGGAGTGACCACAAACAGCTTTCGGTAGCCTGAGATGTTAAGAGCCTCCGTACTGTGTGGCCAATGGATACCACACCCTGGAGTCTAGCACCGCAGGCAGATACAGGCCTGGTACGGATGCACCTCCAGTGCTTTGTCCAGTGAGCATCTCTGGGTCAAGTCATTGTTGGGGGTGACGCTGGATCCTGTGCTGTTTGTTCAGCTGTTGACCCCCTCTGCCCCCGGCTCTGCAGGCACGAAAATCACTAACCACTCTTTGAGAGATTAAGGTTCAGCGTAATAAAGTTCTTGGTAAATTGTACATCAGATCCTCCTCATCGACCAATGTTTCCATCAAAAATCGACTGGGTTTCACTGGCACTGTTGTGCGGGCGGGTTAAAGAGGACAGCAGTTCCACGCTTTGCAATGGTCCCCTTATGTGCTTCTGTCCTCAAACTGACTAAGATACCAAGTTCCGGCTGGCTCGGTGCTGTTAACACGCTCGCTAAGCTGGAGGGCAGCGCGTCAGCTTAAGGTGTGGACAATAATCACCTTCGCTCGAGCTCACAGGTCGGAAATGACAGTTCCTCCTGAAAATAAAAAAAAACGCGAGAAACAGGTTGTTAAGTGAGGAAAAACACATCGCCAGGTTAAGCCTTTCCGTCCCTGAAGTGCGAGGGGAACACAAAGGGTTTGGTTCAACCAGGATCGGAAGCAGCTGCGGTTGTCCCTGGGCTTCAAAAACCTTTCGTCTCACAACTTCACCGCCCCCCCCGCACCCACCACCACCCTTAGATAAGGCAGTAAAACATAAGAGGGTTCAGGCTGGGACCACAGCACTGACCCACAGGCCCTGGTGGATGGAGAGGGCAGGTTGTCACAAGGCACCGGAGCTGTTCCCGCACCAACACACACACACACACACACAGTCCGTCACGCAGCTTCTCTTTAGCAATGGACACACAGCGCCCCCCGTTGGCCCCGTGTGGAGAGGCGCCGTCGCAGCTCGTCGCTGAAGCCGTGCGGACTGCAACGAAAGCCGACTCGCGGTCCCCGGTCAGTGCCGCGTCGGGATGACTGCAGGCGGGGGGATAAGGACAGGACGCTCGGGGCTACCGACGGCCCCCAGCGAGGCAGGGAAAAGAGGGGAATGAACATCAGTCGAGGGTTCCGTTCCCGATTGCTTTCCGAGCGAGTGGAGGTCAGGCGAGGGCAGGACCCAGGCTCGGGTGGATAAGGTCGCCGCCATTCACTGTCTCGCACCTGAACAACAGCCACTTACTTACCTGTGGATCAGCCAGGAGGAGGAGAAGGGAATCCTGCCTTGAGCAGACGTGGGGAGAGTGTATAACCAAAGGCACTGAGGGTCAGAAACCTGCCACACAACAGTGCAGAAGGAAACAATACCCCCCACCCCAACTTTCATCCCCCCACCCCGCCCTTTCCCACCCCCACAAACTAAAACTACAGCATTTCAGAGCAATCACTTAGCGGCAGAGCCACAGCATCAAGGAGCCAGGAGACTCAGGAAGCAACAGTGATCGTTCCTAACGAGGGGACAAAGCTGCAAGGAAAAGCTGCTCTCGGTCACACGCACACGTCTCGTGGCAATGCTCACTCGCTCCAGGTGCCTTCCCCTCCCCTCCCCTCAGGCTCTCGTCTCTTTGGCTCCAACACAGAGTGGCCAAACTAGGGGGCAGTTGTACTTTCAGCTTAGCACCTGCAGCCTACTCCCACTCCTGCCCACGTGCCTTCATCCAAGTATTTATATTCTTTTGTGTGTGTGTGTGCGTACGTGTGCGTGTGTGCATGTGTGTGTGTATACGTACGTACATGTGTGTGCGTACGCGCGTGTGTGCGTGCGAACGTGTGTGTGTGTATGCCTACGTGTGCGTACGTGTGTGTGTGTGCGCGTTATGATCGGGTTTGAGTACATTGTTAAACACTGCCGTTGTAAAACACAAAACGTGAGTGTGGCCGAACTGGTTAACTCGCACCCCCCCCACCTCCGCCCCACCGGGAAAGCAGGGCCAGGCACTACACTAACAAGCACAGGTACCAGGCAAGCTGCAGCAGCTCCCACCGTGGTCCTTACCTGCGGGTGGCTCTGCCATGTCTGCCTGCTCTCTGCCCTTCACTGCTCCTTCCAAAGCTTTACCTCTGTCCCCTTTGAAGCCTTTGGACTTAATGAAATCTTTCTCTTTACCTTTCGTTCCTTTCGGCCGTCCCGCTTGCTTTTTCTTGGACTTGCCGTCACCCTTCACGCCGAGCAGCGGGTGAACTTCTGTTCGGTCACGTGGCGGTTGGGGGGGTGGGGGGGGCGGAATAAAAAGCGAGAGATTAGGAAAGCAGAGGTGCAAGAAAAGGTTCTAAAGTCCACTGCAGGAGAATAGTGGACAATCTCAGCCCCTCACAAATTCCTGCTCAGTCTCTCTCCCATCCCTCCGCCTTGGCCCCCTCCTTCCCTATCTTCAGATCACAGCTGAAGACTTTTCTCTTTTGACTGCACCAACGATCACTTGCTCCCACTTCCAACCACCCCCCACCCACCGGCTCTGTGTCGCGCTCTGGGACACGACCCTGCATTATTGTCTGACGAGCAACAAGTGATGGGAGACGTTTACCATCTGACGGGACTCCTTGCAGCTCGATGTTGGTCATCTTGGGTTTCTTCTTTGGGGGCTGAGTTCCGTCAAAGGACGTCTGGCGCTTCTTGTCTGGGTTACTCGTATCGTCTGTTACTGGGGTCTGCGAACATAACACACGCGCGCATACACACACCAATCAACCATGAGCAAAGCACAGAGCGATTCCATGTTGGCTTTGCAGTAAGTACTTTAGGCGGACACTCTGAAACCGGAAGCATTTATACACACGCGGCAGCCCACCTGCACGGGTTCAGGAGGGGGTCCGTAAGGGTTTTCTTCGGGATCTTCCACCTCTGGAGATATTGGAAGGTACAGCAGAGCCTTGCAATCCTCAAACTCTTCATCGCTAACGGGAAGACAAGACCAAGCCCATGGGTCAACACACACCTCTACTCGTTGTTCCCTAACTTATTGCAGTCTATTAGAGAACCGCTAACTTTTTCACAATTGGAAATTTCACCCCTTTCCTCCCCCTCACAAAAAAAAATAAAAAATTCAGGGAACAAACGGATGTGCGGCCAACTCCAGAGTCGCCGCATTTCACAGACGTTTCAACGTGATAAGGCGAGATATCAACAGCAACAGCTTGCGTTTATCTCGCTCCCGCCAAGCAGGGCAGCGTCCCAGAGCGCTTGTGTGATATCAACCCCCCCCCCCCAGGCGGGCGAGGTGGCCTCTTGACCAATTTTTCGCGCCCGAGTTAATTCTGCCAGAATTAAAATAAAAGTCTTCTACCTGCTGCAGAAAGCAGCGATGGGGTCCACCGACGTGACGTCAACCTCCTCGTCCTCAGCTGCGTCTGCACCTGAAGATATTCCACACGTGCACGGGCCGGAGACAAAACAACAACGACGACGTGCGTTTACGCAGCACCCCCTCGCTCACGCAGGGCAGCGTCCCAGAGCGCGTTGGCAGTGGCGGAGCGCAACACCGAGCCGGGGGTAGAGAGGGAGGTGACTGTAGGCCCCCACACCGCCCCGGGTGAAGAAGATGGTCTTCAGGCGCGATCTGAAGATGGGGAAGGATGGGGGCGAGGCGGAGGGATAGAGGAAGAGTGTCCCAGAGTTTCGGGGCGCAGCGGTTGAAAGCGCGGACGGCGGTGCAATGCAGGGCACGGGGGACGCACAGGAGGCCGGAGCCAATCGAGTGGGTAGTCGGGTTGCAAAAAAAAACACAGGAGTAAAGAGACGAGGATCGCTTACCCGTCTGCTCTGGTTCACTCTTATCTTCGTCTTCGATGTCAAATTCAGACTCTCTCTCTTCGTACTCCACGTTCTCGTCCAGCTCTTTGAAGTCCGGAGCGAAAGCGCTCCAGTTTTCCTACGGCAGAAACACGTCGGAATCGATTCCCTCCGGACAATTCGGAACCAGTGTCAGCCCCCGAAAGGAAAGTCCAATCCCACGTTACTGCTCGCTCCCCCACACCCTCAGCCTTTAATGTTCCTTCCTTTTTTATATTTTTTAAAAAACATTAACCCACTTGTCGTCCGCTCTCCACGGAAACATTTCCTCCCTCACCGTAGAAGGCAATTAGACAAATTGTCCGGGAATTGAACCCGGGTCCTCTTGCTTTGCGATGCGGGTGCGCTAACCACTACAACAACAACTTGCGATCGCTTCCCGGAGCAAAGTTAGGTTAGCCTAAGACTTACCACTTGATTCTGAGCCCAAATGGACACGACCCCACTGGATATGGAGGCTATGATCGGTCGCACTGGGTGCCACTGGAACAGAGAGAGTCGCATAAAAACAGGAAGTTTTGTTTTATATGAAAAAAGTAATACACAAAACAAAAAGGCTTCGAAACGAAGACTGAAGTAGGAGTAAGAGTGGGAGTAAAATTTTGGGGATAACAAAGGCTGCGACTCACGGCCACGTCGAGCAGCAGCTCTCCCCGGGTGCCGTGCAGGATCTTCACCAGGTTCCCGATGCTCTTCTCCCAGATGTACAGCGCGTGCTGCCGGGCGGAACCCGCGCAGATATACTCCCCATCACCGGAGAAGCAGCATTTCTTCCAGGGGGTCCTTCCGGGACACACGGACGGCAAGCCAGTCAGACAAACACGTACCGAGAGGAGCCTTTGAAAGCGCTTTATTAAGCGTTTCGTCCACAAAATACACAGTCACCGCACTTTGCAGCGTATCCTGTGAAGCACTTTGAGACGTCTTGAAGACGTGACGAGGCGCTCACATCAAATGCCAGGATTATTACGGTTATTAAATGGCCTTTACACAGCGCCTTTCACGTCGGGAGGACGTCCCAAGGCGCTGACCGGTTCGGTTACCTGTTCACCAGGTCCTGTAGTTTCTGCATGGGCTCCGGCTCGCCGTCCCGCCCGCACGTCAGGATCTCCCGGCCGTCGTAGACGCGAATGATTCTGTCCGCTGTGTTTATTAAGAAACAGCTGCGGACGCACAAGAGGAGAGAAATCGTTGTTAAAATTCGATGCAGGGGTTTTTGATAAAGTAAATTAAAACTGGGAGAAACTATCTCCCCAGTAACTCAAGCCCACGAGTTTCAAACCAGCACCCAAAATACCTAAAGGGAGAGAGAGAGAGGGGAGGGGGGGGGGCGGTCAGAAGAATGATTTTACACACAGAGTCTCTGTGTCAGCTTTCTGTAAGAGCGACTCCCCCACTCCCCTCTCCTGACATCCTCTGTTCTAGGGGCTGCAAGTAGAGGAACAGGAGGAGGCCATTCAGCTCCTCGAGCCTGTTCCGCCATTCTGTTAGATCATGGTTGATCCGTACCTCAACAGCAACCGGCAGTTATATAGCGCCCCGCACCCAGGGTGGCGTCTCAAGAGCGCTTAACCCAACTACATTTACCCGCCCTTGCTCCATACTCAGTTGCCAGAACAACCTCCTGTTCATCTCCAGACCTGCCCGCGAGATCACGAAGCCAAGACAAAAACGGTGTCCATCACTCCCTCACCTTCCTTTTCGTGCGAATTCGATGGATTTAATAGCCGTTGTGTTGCTGGTGCCGGTCGTGACGCGGAAGGAAGCCACCAACTCTTGCACGTCCGTCTTTAGAACCAGGATCTGAAACAGCAAACCGCGTCTGAGCTTTTACCGGGTGGGAATGCGAGAATTCAGTCACAACTCCAACACCAACAACGTGTCTTTACACAGCCCACCCCACCTCGCGCAGGATAGCGTCCCAGACCGATGTACAATCATAGAATTAATACAGGACAGAAGGAGGCCATTCGGCCCATCGTGTCTTTGAAAAGAGCTTCCAAATCAACCCCACTCCCCCGTTCTCTACCCATAGCCCTGATCAACCCCACTCCCCCACTCTCTCCCCATAGCCCTGATCAACCCCACTCCCCCCGCTCTCCCCATAGCCCTAATCAACCCCACTCCCCCGCTCTCTCCCCATAGCCCTGCAAACCTGTCCTGCCCAACTTGTCCTCTCCTGCAATGTTACTTGCTCCCCATGTAGCATGTAACATTGCAGGAAATCTTCAACTCTCCCCTCGGGAGGGAAGCACAGGGTGGGGGGTGTGGCTGATCTTAAAATCGGAGGTGAGCCAGTAAAATGCGAAAGCAGAAAACATTTCTTTGCACAGAGCGAACGCTGTGAAAACGTGGGACCCAGAAAAGCCTCAAGAGACAAAATCAACCAGGAAGGTATTGCTCCGTACCTTGCCCTTGGCGTTTCCGGTGTAAATGTACTCCCCTCGTCGGTCGAAAGACGCCACTACGTTGAGGTCCGAATCGTCGTCCACCGGTAGCACCACGTGTTTGGAGTCCGAGAGGGTCAGCAAGACCGGTGCACACTTCATGGGGCAAACCAGGACCCTGTTCCTGTAACACAGGGGTAAACACAAGCTCGGTGACAACGTCTCAACAACAACAACTACTACTTGTCATTTATACAGCGTCCCCTCACGCAGGGTAGCGTCCCAGAGCGCTTGACACGTGAGGCGAGGCTTCGATTCCCTGAGGAAAGGTTAGAGCTGGAGCCAGACTTTCTGGGAAACATGGATTGGAGATGCTGAGCAGAGAACAAGCATCTCCTCCTCGTGGGGAGGCAACGACATCTTACACTGGTGCAGCATCTTTATAATAATAATAATAATCCTTGCATGTCATGTCGTGTGGGGGCTGGAGGGGAGGAAGGGAGGGGAAGGCGGTTAAAAAACATACGCTCGCGGATACAAAGAAGTATGGTAACCCCACCCGAATGTCGGGAATACTCACTGATCTCTGGGATGGAACTGGACTTTCAGGACTGGCGAGGGGAAACGGAATCTCTGGTCACAGTCCCCGGAAAGCACATCCCACAGGGATACTATGTTATCCGTCGAAGCGCTGACCAGTTTATGTCCATCTCGACTCCAGCTGCAAAACACCAACAAGAGGCAAAAAAGTATATATCAGCGGGGAGAGAGGCAGCGCACGGCTAACTGTAATATAACCCTTGCTTTGGACACAGCGCCTTATCACAAAATTAATTCACTTTAACAGTATATTCTGCGAAGCAATTTGAGTCATCTCGATGACGTGATAAGGTGCTATATATCAAATGAAAGGATTATTATTATTATTACCCCTCCCCCGCCACACACAGTATTGCTGAAGACACACACACTGTATTGCTGTAAACACACACTGTATTGCTCTACACACACACACGCACACACAAGGATGTTTATGATGTTCCTACCACAAGGAGCAGACGGGATGGATGTGTGCGCTGATGATTTTCGCGATGCCTCTCGTCAGGAAGTCCCAGATGACAATCCTCCCATCGTTGCAGCCCACAGCCAGCAGAGTGCCCCACCTGTTAAAGGTGCAGGTGAGGGCCATGCTGATGCAGTCCAGTGTGCCATCTGCCTCCTGTCACACGAGCAAAGAAACAACACTCGGATCATCTCGCTCAGACGCACTGGGGGGCAAGCACTGCCCCAGCAAGTAGCTTTCGAAAACCCCCTTTTTTTAAGTATATATTTAAAAATATATGTATAAAATCCACACACAGACACAGACAGAAAAATCACTCTTGCAACAAAATGCTACTTTATCAACATCTCCAGCAGCTCAAATTAGACCAAGTGTGTCAGCGCCCTGAGTCTGAAGGTCTCTCATCCCATTTGTCACCTCCGCTCGACTGACACCTGCTCCCGCTCGTCCCTCGCACCCTCCGCCCCACCATCGGAGGTCGCGCCTTCAGCCACTATGCCACCCCCACCCCCCACAAAACTCTGGAACGCTCTCCCTCAATCCCTCCGCCTTGTCTCCCCCACCTTCTCTCCCCTCTTTCAAGTCCCGCCTGAAGACTTCCCTGCTCGACCGTGCGTACGGTCACATCCCCACCACCCCCACCGGCTCGGAGTGGAGGGCGCGGTATAAGTGCAAGTTGTTGTTGTTGTCTGGGCTGGATTAGATTCAAGTCCGGGTCACAAGAGAACAGTCAGGGTACGAGCAAAATAAGTTACAGCAAAACGTATTAAAACTCATCACCTCTGGGTCACAGGTACTTGGGGGGAGAGACACTAAACACCTTCCGAAAAGCAAAGTACATATAATATATATAAAAATATATGAAACGTCAGACTTACCTCTGGATAATTCTGTCCAAAGGACTCTGCAAAAACACAAAATCAAGTCATTATCTCAAATGCCAAGAATCACCAGTAAAGATTGCGCAGAGCGTTATGTAACCCCTCGTATGTACTTTTTCCAGTTACATATTTATTTCCTAACTCCCCATTTCCACTTCTGAGGGCGGATTCTGCCAAACTCTCCCCCACGTCACCGGTCACTGTCTCCCCCCTCCGAGGACTCTGCCGTTTCCTGCGTTTCACCCTCGACGGCCGTACCGTCAGCCACTGCCCCCCCCCCCGAGGCTCTGGAACTCCCTTCCTCACTCCCTTCGTCTCGCTCCTTCTCTTCCTATTTTCAGGTCTCCGCTGAAGACCTTCCTTTTCGACCGTTCCTTTGGTCACGTTCCCCCCCCTCCCCACCCCACCCCCACCCGCTCTGCCCCGGGATCCGTTACTGTGAAGCGCTCCTGAGACGCCGCCCGGCGTGTGGGGGGGGGGGGGTGGGGGTGGGGGACGCGATACAAAGCCGAGCTGTCGTCGTTGCTGCTGCTGCTGTCGTCGAAACGCACAGCGTCGAAACCTTTTCTACGGCGGAGTCCTGAGGCTCAGCGGTCGGAGCGCTCGACGCCGGGTTCAGCTCCAGACCTCGGGGGCGTCTCCTCACCCCACACACGGCCCCCAATAATAACCCCCTCCAGACAGGACAATCACAGTAATAAATTGGGCCACTTCAGCCCCCGGCTGTTGGTTTGCGGGGGAACGCTCACCGCTGTGCGCAACCGGCCGCCGCGTTTCGCCCGCAAACGTACAGTCACTACACTCTCTACGGTCTATTCCGTGCGGCGCTCTGAGACGTCGAGAAGACGTGAACAGCGCTGCATCAGAGATGCAAAGATTATTATTATTATTATTATTCTCTCACACCCTCTCCCCCCAGACTCTGGGCCTCTCTCTCCCCACACCCTCAGCCCCTCCCCCCCCTCCCCCCCCAGCCCCCATCTCTCTCTCCCCCCACCCTCCCCCCCTCATCCCCTCTCTCTCTCCCCCCACCCCCTCCCCCCCCCCCATCTCTCTCCCCCCCACCCCCCCCTCATCCCCTCTCTCTCTCCCCCCCACCCCCTCCCCCCCTCATCCCCTCTCTCTCCCCCCCCACCCCTCCCCCCCATCTCTCTCCCCCCCTCATCCCCCTCTCTCTCTCCCCCCCCACCCCCTCCCCCCCCCCTCATCCCCTCTCTCTCTCTCCCCCCCCACCCCCTCCCCCCCCCCACCCCTCCCCCCCCTCATCCCCTCTCTCTCTCCCCCCCACCCCTCCCCCCCCCCTCTCTCCCCCCCCACCCCTCCCCCCCCACCCCTCCCCCTCTCCCCCCCCCTCACCGAGCAGCTCCAGGTTCATGTCTCCTCAGGCTCAGGCCCCGCGGCTCTGTCTCGCTCTCCGGCTGCGCTGCTCCCGGTGGGGGGGGGGAGGGGGGGGTTGGGGGGGGGGAGAGAGGGAGAGAGAGAGAGCGCGGGAGGGATGGGAGGGGGGGGCGGGAGGGCAATGTGGGGGGAGGGGGGGACCCCGGACCCCGCGCTCGGGCTGTGACAGAGACTCGGTGCTGCGCCGCGGGCGGGAAGGCCTCGGGTCCGTCGCTGTAAACCTTCCCCCTCCCCCCGCGGTCTCTCCGGGCGGCGGGTTCCGGAGCCCGGACACCATTGGCTGCCGCGCCGCTGCCGTACGGAAGTACCGCGCGTTCCTCACTTCCGTACGGCAGCGGCGGAGGAGGAGGAGGAGGAGAGGGCGGGGCGAGCACCTGCCTTGAGCCCAGTGGGGCGGGTTTCACGCCCAATGGGGCGGAGTTCGCGCCCAATGGGGCGGAGTTCGCGCCCAATAAGGAGCGCTGTGAAAAACACAAGAGTTTAGGGTCTCGAAAAAAAAACCCCTAAATTTCGGTAATATCTTCATTTAAAACCTTTGCTTTGTTTTTTTTTTCCCTCATCAGCAACAACAACAACAACTTGCCTTGACCGGAGCGCCCCTCAGGCAGGAGAGCGTCTCGGAGCGCTCACCATTATGACCAGTACTGCGTTGGGCGAGAAATTTAATATCCGATGTAAGGATTATTATTGGTGTTATTATTATTATTATTATTATAAAAAAATAATAAATTGGCCGCCGCGTTTCGACCGTATATATGTATATACATATACAGTTCATTTACTTTACAGCGTATCCTGTGAAGCGCTTTTGAGACGTCTCGAAGACGTGGTGTCAAACGTAAGGATTATTATTGTGGTCATAATAATAATAATAATAATAATAATGGGGTCAGAACGGACGCCCGAAGAATCCCACGGCCGACGATACTGTGTTTATCCGCCAGCAGTGATTTGGGGGTTCGCGCAGGACCCGCCTTTCCCTCCACGAGGGACGGACGTCGCAAAGCTTTTTGCCGTAGAGAGCTGTCAGGCTCTCAGCCCGGACCGCGTTCCCGCTCCTCCTGTACCTCCTCGTTTCTCGACGACAGAAAAATAACTGTGCGAAGCAAAGTGTGTCGACAAAGCTCAGTCGGCTTTATTGAATGAGTTCAAGTCGGCTCCGTCCGCAAAGATATACAGTCGATTCACTCCCCAGCAAATCCCGTCGCGCGGTTTGAGACGCGACGAGGGGTTACGTCTAATGACTCGCGACGGCGAACAAAGCTCAACTCTTCCAGGATCAATCACACTGGGCTGAAGTTTGAGAGATTTAACACGGGGGGAGGGGGGGGGTGGGGGTGAGGGAAGACGGTGTGGAGGGCAAAGCTGGGTGAGAACCCCAAGCTGGCGGGGAGCGTGGGGTGGGGGGGGGGCAGAAATAACCTGAATTTGCCCCCGTTCTATTTATGACTGGCTACGGAGATGCTCTCACAGTTCTCGAAGGGCACTCGATGCCTCTCCTGCTTTATTCCCGGGGTCCCTGACGCTGGTTTTGGAAGAGATTCAGTTTGCTAACGATCCTGCTGAGCCCCCCCTCGTAGGCAGAGTAGCGCTGGGGTCCGGGCTGCTCTGTGCTGGGCTCTGGGTCCTCTCCCGCTCTCCTGCCCAGCCGCCAGCTTTCCTGGCAGTGCCTGGGATCTGCGCTCTCTTCCCCTCCCCCTCGGTCGCCGCGTTTCCCGGGATGCTGGCGCTTGTGGACACGGCTGACCGCGGAGAACCATTCGCGGGAAAATCCCCTTTCCTGTCCACCCCCCCTCCCCGCCGGTTTCCGTCCCGGACCGTCCCAACCCCCTCCCTCCTTCCCGCTTGGAATCCCCCGTTTCCCGGGATGCTGCCGCCTCTGGACGGAAAGCGGGTCAGTCGCTCGGCTCGCAGGACCCTCAGCGAGTCCCTCACACACCGTCCCCGTCGCCCTCGAGAGGAGATCCGTCAGCGAAGCTCGTTCTGGTGCTAAAAAAAAAAATGCAACGCAGGCAAGTCAAGAGGAGGCCATGAGATCAGCAATGACTTCAAAACAACGAGAACAAATCACTTCAGGGGTCTCGCAGCAGCAGAGAAAAAAAAACATGTCGCTGTGCGCAATCGGCTGCCGCGTTTCGCCCACAAAATATATAGACACTGCGCTTTACAATCTATCCTGTGAAGCGCTTTGAGACGTCTCAACGACGTGATATGGCGCTGGTACCAAATGCTCGGGAGTTGATCCCCTGCGAGACAAGTGAGTTAACCACTCACTCCACTGCAGGGCTCCAGTCTACGCCCCCTCCCGGCACACCAGCCTGACCTGCTCATACCTCGTCGCTCACCCGGCACGGGGTGAGAAGGGCCCTCTCTCGCGCTCTCGGCCCCTCCGTCATCCTGTTGCTGACTGCAGGACAGTCCGTGGAGACATGAGGCCAGGCAGGAGAGAGCAAGCTGGAACAGAAGCAATCTGAAGAGCAGGGCTAATCCCCTGGCCATCCTGCAACAACAACAACAAATTACATTTATACAGTAAACCTCACATACGTCATATCAGTAGGGACATTTAATACGACTTATGCAAAGTATGAGTTTATATTAAACTCGCCTCGAATATACACTCCTGAACTGGACTCGGGCAACTCCGCAATTTGCACAGATCGGACTTATGAGAGTTTTACATGTAAACCACCTTTCACATTGGAAGGATGTCTCAAAGGCACTGGACAGTTAAGTGTTTGCATCAGAGCTGGGGTTGGAATCGAGAGGGGCGCGGAGGGCTGGAGGAATGTGGCCAAAGGCACGGTCAAAGAGGGATGTCTCGAGACCTGCCTTGGGCTGACAGCATCAACCCGCACACCGGCTCAGGGACTTGCTTTCACTCAGAGGGTTTTACATGAACAAACAACCATTTTGCCACCAGTGGTCGATGAAACCAAGACCCTAAAAATAGTGGAAGGGAATCGGAGAAGCACTTCAGAGAAGGAGAACCATGTAAGAAGGCAAAAGGGTGTGGTGGGGGGATAATGTTGCGAGGGTGGTTGGGGGTGGGTGGAGGAAAAGAGCTGGGAAATGTGGAGCGAAGTCAAAAAGAAAACAAGAAGAAAAAAGTTGGTAAGAGACAGAATTCGAGAAAAAATGAAAGCGAAACAAAGGTTTGAAAGAATAATTCACACGAGGACTGTGTACCTGGTCTCGGGTGATAGTTAGTTGTGGTGCACTCTCTGTGGCTCTGCTTCTCTCTCTCTTCTCCTCGGTCTCTGCTCTGGACGTTCTGAGGCAGCAGGCTTTATACGCTTACCATTCACCACCCATTCACCCTCCACCCGCCCCAAACACACACAGCAAGGCAGCTCCTGCGAGCTGGAGTGCCATTTTCTCCAGGGTTTCCTGCAGATTGAGAGCCACGGTGTCTGGAGATATCACCACCGACCTCCCCCTTCCCTCACCACCCCCAGAGAGCAATGCTTCTTTGAGGAAGGATTCCAACTGAGATCCTTCAGTTACCATGGGCCCAGCAAAGGAGGTACAACAACAATTAGCTCTTAAACTTCCTTATCAACACATTGCAGCAATCTCAGGGAAAGTGGGGGGAAAAGGTACGCGCACAGAGCACTATACAACTCTATTCCCTTTGGGTATGGAGTGCTACTGAATATCCGGCTGTTCACCAGTCTGGATGGTGCCAGGCAGGCGCTGGTGGAATGGTTGTAGCTGAGCTTTGGGTAACTCCGATAACCAGAGTCAAGGGGCGAAAGCAATACCAACCAGTAGCCGTGGGAAACGGAGAGAGGGTCTCTGGAACAGTCAGATACATAAAGCAAGTTTCAGGCGAAACGCGGCAGCCAATTGCGCACAGCAGCGTCTCCACAAATAGTCGTGGATTAAGTGACCAAATTATTATTTTTTTTTGAAGGGATTATTGTGCCCGGAGAAGTGACCTGCCAATCAACTACCAACCAGGTTCCTACCGACTGCTGGCAAACAGAGGCGTGTGTGTGGGGGGGTGGGGGGGAGTAAGGAAACTTGCCCAATGTTTCGCTCTGCCCGGGAATCGAACCCGGGTCCTCTCACTTGCGAAGCGAGCGCTCTAACCCCTGAGCTACAGGACTCCACAAATAGCACGATCGAGAGACAGACAACACCAAGGTATAAGGTTAATGTCTGACTTTATTATACAGCACCTCATACATATTCTGTGCAACTTTGCATTTTTTTTATATATATATTTATAAAACAAAGGATTCATGATAGCAAACAGTCATAATCACAATGGAATAACTTCTGTTTTAAAAACAAGTACTTCTGTTCTGGGGCTTTCACTCGAAGTGTCTAAATTGGTGAAAGATTACAAGGAGTACAACATACATGATGGTAAAATATTAATACAGTAAAGTAATGCACCGAGTGGTGACAGTGTTCCGTTACACCAGAGTGTAAGCATATTTAACATTTAAATAAAAACCTTGGTTAAAGGGTTTAAACACACCACACGCTGGGCTCTAACAGCAATGAGCTTGTTCAATACTAGTTTGTAAAAAGGAAAGAGAGTTTAACAGCCACCTACGTAACAGCCAAGTTTAGCAAACTATTTACCTCGACACAAAGTTGTGAGGGAATAAATTTGAACAAAGAGAATACTCTATACAGAGCTGTGCTTATGAACAGTGCACCCTCACCCACTCCCCCTTCACCTCCCGCCAACAAAATAAAATCAGCTTGAACCGCATGAGTCTCCTCCATAACCCAGACTCACAAAAACATGGTTTAAATCCATAATACTCTCCCCTCCAATCTGTGCGCGCACACACACATATATATATATATATTGAATATATGCACAGACACACATTGAATATACAAACACACGTAAAAAAAAAAAGCTAACCGTAGTTACGCAGTGTTTTTAACAGCCACGTAAGGTTTTAGTCCTGTTTGGGAACAGTAGATTATTTGGTGCAAAGCCAAGATGAGATGGGGAAATTTTTACGTGATGGATTTTCAGAAAATATTATTTTTATTCTTTCTTCCTTTGCCCCTACTTACGTCTTCTGATTTTCCAAACGAGTTTTTGTAAGAGAATTTTTAAACCAGTTTTATTAATGTATGATTATGAGCGGGGGTGGGGGCAAAGAAAGAGAGAGAGTCAGACAGAAGAGAAACAGACAGACAGAGAGTCAGTCAGACAGACAGCGAGAGAAAGAGACAGACAAACAGAGAGAGAGAAAGAAAACGAGAACCCAGTTACAATCCCACCATATTCCTTCAAATACAAACAGAACAGGTAGAAAATTCCTGGTTAGTGTTTTTTTTTAAAAAAAGTTCCATTTCTATCTTGGCTTTAGTTGGGAAAATTATGTCGTAATTAATACAGGGCTTAAAAAGTTACAGATTTGTTTTTTTTTTTGGGGGGGGGGGGGGGGGATTGGAACTTGGGCTTCCAGAAAAAAACTTAACTGCATTTGACTTTGTAGCACAAGAAAGGCCAAGGGGAGAGGTGCACCCTGAGAAGTGAGGTGTGAAGTGAGGAGGGAGAGCAAAGGCCAACCTGCAACCTTGGTGGCAGATGGTATGGAAACCAGAGATTAAGTGCTCGTTTAGTGTTGGAGCCGAAAGTGTGAGAGTGAGTGACTGACTGCGTTTGAACAATGGCAGGAGCCAATATTATTATTATAACAAAATACTGAACAAACACACTTTGCGTTTTGAAGTGCCATGAAAACCGGTTATCCCGGAGAGTGAGAAGACGTGCGAGGGAGGGGACAGGTTACAAAGCGTCGCCCTCTGTGCGGTGAGCGCCCCTAGCTTAAAATTCCGTGCTCGTTGCCGTAATAGGAGAAAGATCTAGAACCGGGCTGTTCGGCATCGCTTTGATCCAAGCTACAAAGACTGAGTGCGTTGTGGATTGCGATATTACAGTAAAGACTGTTAGCGATCAGGAAAGCTATTGTGTAAACTCTTCCAAGGACAATGAGTTCAGAGTGTGACTGGTAACCTATAGGTAGCTGCCAACATCCTTACGCCATTTACATGGAAACTATGAGCCAGGGATCGAGTCATTGTCCGTTGAATAGGGGAGGGGGAGGGAGAGAGAGATTGCTGACCCCCTCAGTTGATCCTTCTGCCCCTGAAATCAAGGTGAACAGAAGTCAACCTCAGGTTACAAAGAAAGGTGGAGGGCGGTGGGGTCCGATCTTACAGAACAGTCCTGCAAATTCTGGGGCTCAAGGTGACATTCAGCCCAGAGAGAGCAAGAGAGAGAGCGTGCATGAGAGCGAGGGAGAGTGCGCATGAGCGAGAGAGAGCATGTGAGAGAGAGAGCGCACGCGAGAGAGAGATGAAAGGGGCTTTCTCCCTCAATAGAGCAATTGGCAGTTTGTTTCAATAACTTTACATCCAAGACCCCGGTTTAAGTCCAGCCCAGATGCACACAATAACTAATAATGCTGGACATAACATATAGAAGCTACATTCCCAGTACCTTACAGCACAGTCATCCCTTCCCAACACTCGGTTCAAAGGTTCAAAGTTCTGTGAGGGAGACTTCCTTACAATGATACACATCTTCTTTGTCTGTTTTTTTTAAATAAACAAAATACTGACCCTATCGCTTCTCAAAATTAGCTTTTCCTAAAAGGAACATGTATCAAAAGCATCTCCCTTTAGCACAGGTCAGTCTGCGGGACTGAGGAGAGGTTTTTTTTTGTAAAAGCACGCTTCGAGGTGAAGCTGTTCTAATGAGAGGAGACCGAGTTAACCAGTGCAGATTCAGAACTTTGATCATCAACTTTGGACTAAAGTTTGCAAACACATTTAGAAAGAAGTGAAACGCGACAGTGGTGGAGCATTGAGGGGACGAAACCAGTGTTACTCAGAAATAAACCACGAGCCTTCGTAGAGTTACGCACAAACAAGCGCTCCATCCCCTCCCCCCAAATCGGTGTTACTTAGCTTATGGTTTTGATCATTTTTGCTACAAAGCCGATTGCAGTTAAAGTCAGTTGGTGATTTTGCCTTTGTTTCCTTGTCGTTTCCAACAGAACAGGCTCAGTTTTCCTAGAGATTAGTTGACGCTGATTATTTGCAAAGTGGCATCTCCAACCCACCCGAATGCATTTGCTTTTTCCGAAACTGTAGATTTTGATGCAAATACAGTTGGAGGAGTGAGCAGAGAGGTGAGGTGAGGAGTGCCAGTGCCAGGGACATAGGCATTTATTCACTTTGGACACTCAATGTCAACGATACACATTCCAGGTCAGGCACAGCCTGGGTCAGAAGCAGAGAAACTGAACCATTCTAACAACGTGTGATCCCTGACAATCTCTTAACAATCTCACCCGTGAAGAGCAGCCTTACTACACTGTAGAGACTTCCTATTTGAGATGCTCTTCCCACATCTTACCGCAGCTGCCCAGATCCCTGTTGGGAGTTTGCCCGACACATAGGTCATTCAGTACTGTAGATTTGTTCGATAAACACAGGACTGTGCCTGACCTCAGGGTAAACGTATACATCAACGCAGTCTGTCGTTACTGAGAGCTACTTATCCCGACAAAAACATTTACATGCCGCCTTCCCATTGCACGATTCAAAACAACTTTCACGCAAACCAACTTTAATGTACTGACATTTTTCCCCAATTTTTTTTAATAAAGTTTCAGCATGAACAGTGCAATAAAAGCAGCCAGCAATAAGACGAACTCCCAACAACATCCGAAATATCTGCACCCAATATTGTGCGTTATTGCTTTCCTTCCCCAACTTTAATACTGCTGTAGTTCAGGCTCTCAGATCAAGAGCAGCCAGTGGGCATCTTAACTAAGTCGATGGGACACTTGCTGGCACATGCGATTGTCTACAGTGGAATAAATGTAATGGTTCACATCCAACTCAGCCACAACGAGTAGATCAATCCTTTCCCTATACCAAACAATTCCAGGTCCTGTTTTCTAGTTAAAACCCATCTCTTTCCTGTTTCCCCACTGACTCTCACCAGCTGATTGTATGCTAATGGCACAGTTCTGAGTCCCCAAGTGGCCTACCCTTAGGAGACTGCTGTTTTGTTCTAAAAGTACATCTTTAACTCCACCCCCACACCATTGGGTTATGGTAAAATATCATTCTTCGTGCTGAAAACATTTTTTTTAAAGTTTGGTAAAAAAGGAGGGACTGTTCGTTCTTCGGAAAGGTTAGGCACCCCCATCAGGCATAAACTGATGGGGGTGCCTTTCCCTGAAGAAAGGGAGACTCTTCACATCTGAGGGGAGCCTTTGGTTACTGTAACAGTTCCGATAAACAGTCAGATCGCAAATAATTTTTGTTAAAAAAAACAAGATGTTTATAAAACGCCGATCTAGAACAAAACTAATCTCCTAATTTGCGGACTGGACACAGTTGGGCAGATGTCCCATTTCGGTTTACAATTGCAAAACATCCTGCCATAATGCATTTGAACGCCAGACTTAAATAAGACAAACTCAGGCAGTCTCCAAAAATGCCAGAGTCTAATTTTAGTCGACACGAGTAGGGAAAAAAAATGCGATGTTTGATTAGACACAGCAAGTGACCCAAATGGATAAGATGCCCACAGCTTCACACAGTCAGAACTGCAATGGAAACTCTCCCTCCAACCCAAGGCCACGCTGTTTTAGGGGGAAACTCTTATGACAAAGCAATGGCTGGCGATATAGCGTGGTTACTGTGAGCACCAGTGTGTGATTCCCCCCTCCCCACCCACCCACCTCATTCTGTTTCACAAGTAATTGAACAGTCCACACTCTAACCAACCTCATCACATTGCATGGGTTACTTTTACCAGACTCTTCCTGTTGGTTTTGTGTCAATGAAGTTGTAGTTAATTGTTTTCGTTCCTATTGGTACTAAGGAATCGAAAAGGTGCAAGGTGGTTATAGAGGAGAGTGAGTGGGTTTGAGTGATAGAGACTGAGTCTTGAAACATCAGGTGTATTTTCATTTACGCTTTTGACCCTGTCCTCAATCCTGGAATCAACAGTGTTCTTAAAAAAACACAAACAAACAGTAGGACTTTCGCTTTCCCGATAACTGCTCAGCAACAAGTGAATTCAACAAGTGAAAACCGGTGCAAAGCAACTGGAAGTTGTGCAAAAAAAAAAGTGCTAAGGGTGCAAGAACAGTACTATAATTTCCAGGATTCAAAACAGTTTTACAAACTCAAACCGGTTTTGATGCTCAAAGACTTCCTTCCCTCACCCACAGGGAGAGAGAGAGAGCAACCAACCCAAACCCTTTTCTCTCCCTGTTCCACCCATAATTAGCAGCTTCTTTCTGTTTCCTGGCCACACAGGTCTGCTCCTGGGTGGCAGGCAGTCTGTGTGGATCAGGGGAGGTGGTTGGAGGTGGTTTGAAGAAGGTTAAAGTAGATCTCTCTGGTTGGTCTCAATCATATGCTTTTTTGTGTGCAGCATCTCAGGGACAATTTTTGCGGTTTAGCTGATCGCTCCACCACTCCCGCCCCCACCCCACCACCACCGCATTCAAGCTCATTCAAACTAGGCTTTCGTTAAACGGTAACCTAAGTGAGAAAGTTCCTCATAACTCTACTAATTCCACAAGCTGACTCCTGTTCCAATTCCTGCAAGTAAAACGAAAGAGAAGGACCGAGTTCACCGTCTTGCTGCTTAACGTAACCGGTGATGTTGATCTAGTGTTAATACTGATATTGCTGGGAGCCAATGGCATCCCTACTGCCCTGTCAGTTGGGTCCTTAGCACCTCGCTCACGTGGAGTTGTGCTGCTCTGGGCTTCTCTTACAGAGTCGGTCTGCGACGTTCTGCAGGATGGGCTGCACTATCCCGAGCAGGGGCCGCTGAGAAGGATCTCCACTCCAACATGCCTCCATCAGCTGCCAGCACTCCTCATCAAACATGGCCAGCCTCTCTGGCCGTGCTCCTGGGGCAGGAGGAAGGAGAGCAATCAAATCACAACCTAGGAAAGGGTTGCTGCTCATTTCAACAACAATTTGCATCGACACAGCACCCCCTCACACAGAACAGTGCCCCAGAGCGCTTGACAGGGGCCGAGTACGACGTCGAGACGGGGAGAGGGAGGTGACCGTAGACACGGTCGAAGAGGAAGGTCTTGAGGTGCAATCTGAAGATGGGGAAGGAAGGGGGCGAGGCAGGGGAATAGAGGAAGTGTTCCTCCAGATAAATCGGAAATTCATCTGATGGTTGTTTGTGCAACCCAGCTATAGGGAAGGAAATAACAGGGGCAATTAATAACAATCCTATGTGTTATATATATATATATTAAAAAAACTTTACAAACAAAACGCCCTTTTAAAATATCACTATTGTTGGCAATAATTACTTGTGGTAAGTTGACAGAATAAGGTACTAAAAAGCTCTAGTCTTTCTTTTTCGTCAATTGTGCTGTTAACTACCCAAGCAACCTCCAACATCGTCTAAAGCACGGAAAACGGGAGTCTCGAACAGAACAGTTGCAGTGCCCCCTCCCTCCCTAGAAAGGTCTCCTGCTTCCATCTCATTCCAAAGCCTCTTTTGTGTGAACACTGAATAATTCAGGACAGCTGTTTGTTCCTCCGAGGGGGAAGAATGAGCGAGCGGCTGAAAGCCCGCACATAATAAAAGAGAAATGAATCTAACACAAAAAAAAGCCTTTCATTTGACTCATTTGTGATCATGATGCATCTTATTACAAGATATGCAAAATTTTGATTTAAGGACTCAATCTTAACCCTTTCACCAGCCAGTTTGTCTGCTCATACCTGTAGGAAGCTTCTATATACTGCACAATTGCTGTTTATTCAGCAGGCCTTGGGACACTCACAGTGCAACTATTTTGTTGGACCCAACAGGAGGATTATGATGAGACAGTGGAAGCAGAAAGTGTTGTTTGTCTCAAGAACAAATTAGATAGATTTCTGCTAGAAAATAATATCTGGGGATACCAAACAATATATAGTTTGGGACACACATGTCAAGCGACTGCCAGGATGGTGGAAGGCGAACTAGATGGACCTTGGTCTTTTGTCTTATAGCAAATTCTTAATTTCTCATGCTGCCAACTTGTTTTGCTTAAGACATTTTATGGTGTGCTTGAAAACTCTCTAGAAGTTACTTGGCAGTTGAAAGGTCCCTTCCAACCAGCAAAAACAAGATTAAAAAAGTGGTCAGTTACAGTGTCTAGTCAACAACATGTAAACTACATAAAGCACTACACATACAGTACAACCAATGCACAGCCTCCTAGTTACTGTCATTCTGCCTCTACAACTCCGTTCTAGTTTAAAGAGAACACAAGTACCTTTTTTTACGTTGTTCCAGAGCTGATCCTTGCTCGAGCATTTCTCAAAGGCTTCCGGGAGTTTGATCGTTCCTGTGCAGAGGTACCAGAAGAGAATTCCAAAAGCATAAACGTCCACCGAGTTATCATACTTTCCTACAAATAATCAGAGAAATACAAACATTCTCTTAGTATTCAGGGCACGGCTGAGGCAGATGGGAACAATGCAAGAGAAAATGTATGGCAATGATTCCTGGCAAGTGTAGACCATTTGTCCTTCCAGCCTGACCACCTGTAATTGGCATCACCTTCACAAGTTTGTCTACCTCTCCAACCTGCTTACTCCCCAACCCACTATCCGCTGCCTCTGCTCAACTGGCTCCGGCCGCCTACACATCCCTCGTGCTCTCCGTTCCACCATCGGTGGCTGCACTTTCAGCAGCTATGCCCCGAAACTCTGGCACACTCTTCCTCTATCCCTCCACCTTGCTCCTTCCTTCCCCATCTTCAGATCGCACCTGAAGACCTTCCTCTTCGCCACTGTTAAGCGCTCTGGGGCGCTATCCTAATTGAGGGTCTCTGTATAAATGCAAGTTGTTGTTGTTACCCTCCAAAACTGAGATCCACACTAAAGGGAGTCACGGAGCAAAGGTGGCTTTGTATGTGAAGGGCTGAGGGGCATGAAGGGCAAGAGTTAGCGGGGCTAGTACTCACTCAGGTAAAGCCAGGCTTGCTCGGGAGATTAGATTGCTCCTGAATATTTTAAGGGGACATTGATAGCTAGGCTGAGCGGTGCAAAGCAGTAATTTAATCAAAAGGTTCTGGACAAAGTCACAATTATTGCAGCTCTTTACGTTAAATAGCTCGGGATGTATTCTAGATGTATATGAATGACAAACTACAGAACAATCATCACCTGATCAATTGATCACTCAAAAACGCTATACTTTTTCCCCACCAGTTTGGTGGGGATTCTGTTATCATGTCGATTCTGTGGTCCGAGTTTTGAAGTTTCATTCATGCTCTCTAGATCTAGAGATCAGTGTAATTTGCCCTATTTAATGTGGTTTATAATATCAACCAATTTAAATCAGGCCGAAATGGAGTGAGATTCCGTTCCGTTCGCAGGGCAGGTTTATCCATGTGTATAATATATATACACACACACATATATAAAAATTATGATAATCCTTGCATTTGAGAAGTGCTTCACAGAATACATTGTAAAGTGGATTGACTGTGTATTTCATGGGTGAAACGCAGCAGCCAGTTGCACATGTGGCAATTGTACGGGCATCAGGCGAGGACAGGAGCACGTTTAGCTGCTCAGTTTAAACCTCTTGAATCATAATAAACCACAGAACCAAATCAGCATTTTCACAGCACAGCTGACAAACAACCATTGTCTAAGACCAACCTCTCGAAAAAACTGACAGACGGAACAACTTACCCGAAAACAGTTCAGGCGCCATGTGAATGGGGGTTCCTACGATGCTCCCAGACATCATGGCCTCAGGTTTGCAGAATCCCAAGTCGGTGATTTTTGCTCGGTTCTGCTTATCCAACTGCAAGATGACAAAGAAACATCCAACGTAAGGTTTAACAGGATTCGAAAGACAAATGCCGAAAGGATGTTCACATAGTGACACAACCCACTTTACTTGCGGTTCCCAATCTCACAGCACATGTGGAATAATAATAATTATCCTCCTTGCATTTGATATAGCGCCTTATCACGTCGTTGAGACATCTCAAAGCGCTTCACAGAATATACTGTAAAGCGAATTGATCGTATATTTTGTGGGTGAAACGATGTACAACAGGATTCACACCACAAGACCCTGCAGACAAGTCAGTTTTGACCTAGTCAATGCTAGAGTAAACACATGGAATGAGGAATCGATCTGGTAACATGACTGAGATCACAAGATATTTCGATTTTAAACCAGTGTTAGCTGTCAATCCAATGGCACATGAAGAGCTGATGGTATTTTTAATGTTGCATAAAGTCATTTTTCTCAGAGCTATTGCTACGTTTTCGTGATCGAGTGCGTATTCACTGTCAAGAAAGGTCAGAACAGTTTTACGGAGATTTACTCTCCAGCTGCAGCGAATTAGGCATTCATTAGCACAATGCTTCCAGAAAATGGAATAAAACGTAATGAGTATTTTAAGCGAACTTGACATATGCAGAGGGAGAAAGTTGCGGCAGCTAATTTTTCTTCTATCAGCTGCTACATAGCTCATTTTCAGTTTTATCGTTTAAATCTTAAGGAAGATGGACTTTATAAAGGTTAAGTACACTTTCAAGTCTTTATATAATAATGAATGTCACAATCAATTGCTAACAGATGCAATAGTTTTCCTCAGTTTAATAAGCTGCTGGAGGGAAAAAATAGATTTTTTTTATTCATTAATCCACGGTGCAGAGGAGCTGAAAGTATATCCGAACTAATTACCAAAGATTCAACACAACTCATTTAACATTGTTTTTGACATTTTTATAATTATAATCCTTGCATTGATACAGCACCTTATCACCTCTTCGAGACGTCTCAAAGCACTTCACAGAATATACTGTAAAGTGAATTAACTGTATATTTTGTGGGCGAAACGCGGCAGCCAATTGCGCACAGCGGCTTCCCCACAAACAGCCGTGGATTAAATGACCAAATTATTATTATTATTATTTTTCTTGAAGAATTATTGCCCCCGGAAAAGCGATCTGCCAATAGGCTAATAACTGGGTTCCTATTTACTGCTGGTAAACAGAGGCGTGCGTGTTATTTATACTGAAAAGATGACGCACATTGGAAGTGAGGGAGAAATTATCAGCAGTATTCGGAAAGTGGGGGATGGGGTGGAGGGGTAAGAAAAGTAAATCGTAAACCTTACCAAAACGTTCTTTAGCTTAATGTCTCGATGGACGAGCCCCTGTCGGTGCAGAAAACGGATACCTTCCACCACATCGAGTGCAATCTGCAAACGAACATCCAGCTTCAGACCACACTAAGAAAGGAAGAAAATAAAGCTCCTTTTAATCTGAGAGAAGGAGATGTGGTGACAAGCCTTAAAACTAGATGAGAGAAGACACAGCACATAAATCTGCAGCCAGTCTATGTCAGGTTACAAGTCCAAACCTCCTTGCTGACCGGAATTAAATGCATTAATGCAAAATAACTCATCAGATTGCACTGCCGTTACCTTCAGCCCAGAGTAGAGGTCTTTGTGCAGCCTCTCCATGATTAGCAGGACTGCAATACTGGAGCCCCCTCCGTAACTGTAGTCTATCACTGAGCCATGAAGGTCAACCAGTCGCTCGTGCTTGGGTAAAGATCTGCAGGAAAGGAGGAGGTACTTTATACTCAAGTATTGCATTTGCAAACATAACTGCAACATAGGGACAGGAGTAGGACATTCAGCCCCTCGGGTCTGTTCCACCATTTCCACTTGATCACAACTGATCTGTACTTCAACTCCCATTTACCCGCCTTGGCTTCATATCCCTTGGTAACAATCTAAACCTAATTACAGATTAACGTCTTGATAAGGAGAAGAGAAATAGAAAGAATCAAGGAGATGGGAAGACACGGGATTGGAAGAGACTATTGCAAACTGGCCAACCCTAACATTCAAAAATTACCAAGTCATTTGTATTCAAATCCACCTCGAAACCGTTTGCACTCAGACGAAGAAGTAACGCTCCTCCCCCTCCCCCGGATGATGGGACTGTACCTTGTGTAGTGGAACTCCAGCGCGAGGTCATTCCAGTGCTTGTCATCGGGAGGCACCACAGACTTCAGGGCACAGGGAGAATGTCCAGCCCAACTCTCACACAGGTACACAACTCCGTACTGGCCTCGGCCCAGCTCCCGACCCAGCTTAGGCTTGCCTGAGAAAGAGGGGGGGAGAGAGAGAGCGAGAGAGAGGAAAAACACTGTTAGGTGGACACACTGAATGCTCTCTGTGGAGCTGGCTCGGGCACATGGGAGACTCTTTAACGACAACGGGCCTGAAGTGGCGCTCGGGCTGTCAAGGAGCACCCCCCCCCCCCCACCACCCACCAAATATTCGCAGGGGGGAACTAGGCAAGTCCAGCTACAATCGATAGTTTTTGTTCCTGGAATTATGGCCTAAATCAAGAAATAGTCAAACAAGAGAATCTAGCCAACACTGCTTTAAATGAAGGGTGTGATATAACCGCAAAGTTAGTGAGGACACAGGTTATATATTGTGTCTTCCAAGGTGTTTCCCCATTCTGAATGGGATGCTGCCCCTCTCCGCACAGCTAATAGTTCCTCTCCTCACCGCCCCCCCCATCATAATCAACGCCAAGGTTCAAAAAGAACCAGCGCAAAGGGACGGAGCTCACCGTGCAAGAGCAAATCTCGCAGAGAGCGGCTGTCCAGCGACAGTCGAGCCAGCCTGGGGGCGTGATCTTTCCGCACTTTCAGCCACAAATCCTCCATCTTCTCAAGTCTTCCCGAAAGCCCTGCTTCGAGCTGCAGATGGGACATCGGAGAAATTAAAATTAATCTTTGTGACCTTTCCAACTGCGCGCTGCAGCCCACCCCAGGACCAGGTGAGCTGACAGTGAGTTGACAACCGCCTGAAGTACTAAGTAAATTCCAAAGCAAAGGGTAGTGGAAACCCAACTCTCTCCCCCCAAAAAGCCTGTGGATATTTGTTAGGTAAGGGTTTCAAGGGCAAGTAATTGGAGTTGAGCTACAGATCGGCCATGATCTTATAGAACGGTGGAACAGGTTCGAGGGGCTGAATGGCCTCTTCCTGTTTCTATAAGTATTTGAGAGACGCAGAATGCACTGTTTAACTCAGTAAAACATGGACACACCTGTCGCAGAGAGGCAGCAAACGCTTCATGAGAACTGTTGAGCCTGGTGCGGAACTGACTACATATACTCTTTGCTAGTTTAGTGGCACAGAGGCTCTCGATGGCATCCTGTCCAATCTTTCTTTTCCACTCCGTAGTGACAGCCGGAGGGTTTACCCAAGGCATCCTCTGGATAATCTGTACAGAAGCACACCGACAAAGCAATGAGTTGCACACCATCTATACTCAATTGGCCACCGCATTTCGCCCACAAAATATACAGTTGATTCACTTTACTGTACATTCGGTGAAGTGCTTTGCGACATCTTGAAGATGTGATAAGGCGCTGTATCAAATGCAAGGATTATTATCTAACCAGAGAGTCAATTAGGTTTTGACCTGCAAGATTCTTGTGAATCTTCAGTTTTATAAGATCCTCCTCTTCAACCGCGCTTTCAGCCACCTTCCTACTCCCACTCTCACTGCCATCCACCCCTCATGATCCCAACCCCCAGGTTGGATCCTAATCCCTGACTATCCAGTGCCTTGGGACGTCCTCCTGACATGAAAGGCGCCGTGTAAATGTAATTTGTCGTTGTTTTTATAATTCAGTCAAAGGGAGACGGACAATATTTACAGAGTTTGATTTAATTTGAAAGGTTTGGTACCAACACTCCAAGACATGTCGCTGTTCTAATCTGCACAGTTTCTCCCTGTTACCTGCTTAATCTGCTCCCAAAGAAGCCGAGATACTGTGGATCCTGAGTGAAACGTCACCTCAACATGATAGGCTGCATTTAAAATCTGAAACGGAAATAAAAGCTCGGTATTTTGCTTACTGTTAATAGAGGTAATTTCCAAAGTAGAATCATTACCACAAAGTAAAACCGACCAGAGAAAAACACCCGTCAGTACAAGCAAACAGAAAAGCTTTCATGTTTTGTAGCATTGGCAGTATTGCGGCAAATAATTCTTCCAGGCAGCAAGAAGAGCCCTAGGAGAGAATCTTTCGGACTTGAGTACAGACAACAGGAAGAGAGGATAAAACATCAACTGGAATATGCCCTGAGGTACATTTGCTCTTATCACACCATCCAGATGTAATAGTTTGCAACAGGAAGAGTGCGGTTACAGCAATTAGAGCATCTTGTAACCAGGTTACGTGACAGGAAGGATGGGTTTACCAGAAAAAGACTAGTAGTGAAATAACCAACCCATCAGATTGTGAACCCACCTGTTTTAGGTGATTACTGGTGACATTGTTCATGGCAGTATCGTGATTGGATTTCTCGAGGCTCTTGAGGCAGCGTTCAAGGGTGCCCACGAAACTCTCTCGGAGGTAATCGACAGAGCTGATCAGTTGATTAGCAACAGCTTGGTTCAGCCGTGTTATAATCAGGTCCTGGATCTGCTTAATGCAACATTTAATGTCCTTATTGCTAACAGCCTCTCCGTTTTCGCAAATGATTATGTCTGGAGGAGGGACAAAAATAGTAGAAGATTTACATCAGTGAAATTCTAGATGTTTAAAAAAAAGTAAAACATACCAAAAACACAGAACATCAACAAGGATTAGATTTGAATGTGTGTCTGAATGCACAAGTTTCCCATTAGCACTACCAGTTGTGAAGTCCTGTAGCGTAGTCCAGCGCCTTGGGACGTCCTCCCGACGTGAAAGGCACTCGATAAATGTAATTTTGTTGTTGTTGTAATGGTTTGCCTAGCAGTAAGTAGGAAACTGGTTGTTAGTCGATTGCCAGATTGCTTTTCCAGTGGTAATAAGCCCTTCAAAGAATAATAATGTCACTCAGTCTACGACTGTTTGTGGGACGCTGCTGTGCACAATTGACTGCAGCATTTCACCCACAAAATATACAGTCAATTCACTTTACAGTACATTCTGTGAAGTGTTTTGAGATGTCTAGAAGATGTGATAAGGCGCTGTATCAAATGCAAGGATTATTATTATATTATTATTAGCGCTACCAGATATTTAATGGGAACAATCACCACAGAAACATTGAGGTGCTAAAAAAAAACTGCAATGGGCTCTTAATTAACAATTGTGCTTTAAGCTGCAAAAATAACGCCTCCTGCAAATCCCAGCAGCTCGTTTCAAGAGTGTGTTAATGGCTTTTCTTAATTCTCATTAGTAATTGTTATTTTAATAGGAAAAATTAAAACACTGGTGGGAATCCAAGATGCTCGTAAAACACCCCGGATCTGCTCTTGTGGCTAATTTCCCTGAACCTTCCCCGTGTTCCAATTATTTTCAACCCTCTCGCGATGATGTGTTTATATGATGGAACAGAGAATAGAAACGGCAGCAACTTTCTTCAGAAAAGCCACTTCAAATGGGTTTTGACGTATCTTAAAAACAGAAATTTCGAGCGCAGAAGGCTGCCATTCTGCTCGTCATGTCTGTGCTCTGTTATGTGTTTTAACACCATTAATTATTAATCCCTATTTCCAACTCTTTCCCCATATCCCTCATTACTTTTACCCCATTAAGGGGCCTGTATTCGCACGAGGCTCAGGATCCAAGACTTTTTTTGCTCTCCCCGCAGTTCCCTAGTCTTTGATACCAGCTCTCTGATTCGTTTTATTAGTTATCATTTCAAATACCCATTTCAAAATAAACCCCCCGTTGACCCTCATTCAGTTTGCACAAACATTTTTTTCCCCCCACACACAGGTTAGTGAAAATCTGGAACCCTCTCCCCCAAAAGACTGAGGATTATGGCTGGATCCATTCAAATTTTGAAGCCCGAGGTGGATAGATGTTTGTTGGATAAGGGCATCAAGGTACCATGGGGCAGGGGCGGGTAATTGGAGTTGAGGTACAGATCAGCTATGGTCTTAAAGAACGGTGGAACAAGCTCAAGGGGCTGAATGGCCCCCTCCTGCTCCTATATTCCGACCGGACTTTCTTATTGAGGATCCATTGATCTCTGCTTCATGATTACTGATACAGCTCTTGTTCTACCACACTCCACCGCCAGAGGTCACCTTGATACCCGATTTCCTGTTCATCATCTTCAAACCTCTACCTGGTCACAGAGATTTCCAGACTGCGGACACCAGAACGTTGAGCTAGTTTTAGAAGATATTTTCAGTATTTTTAATAGAGTGGGGGTGGGGGGGTGGGAGTAAGGTATAAAACCAGGCATTTTCAATCATATTCATCTTTTCCAATAGTCACGCGGAAACTGTACCTCCACCTGAAGATGAGAATTAAATTTTTAACGTCTCAAGGACAGCATCGACGAACAACGCAACACTCAGCCCAGGATTGCACTGGGACTAAAAGATAAAGTCCAGAGGTGGGGCTTGAACTTGAAACTTCTGACCCATTGGCAAGAGTGCCACTCGCAACAACAACAAAATGACATTTGTGTAGCCCCTTTCATGTCGGGAGGACGTCCCAAGACGCTGGACAATCAGTGTTTCGGACCCAAACTGGGGATCATAAGAAGCTAGCTCGAGGGTCCAGGAAATGGGAGCAACCTGAGCAACCTCACTGGCAAGCAAGACTTGATCTAATATGTTCACACCAAGTTGAGCAACTGGCAAAACACGAGAAACGATTAAGAGAATCCTGAAACTGTACAACGGGGAAATACTTCGTATTACAAGTACTTCCACCTAATGTTTCCTTTCTCATCCAAACAAACTTGTTAGGACTTCTCTTGTGAATTGATTTGCCCTGTAATAAGGCTGCCCCATCTCTCGCAGATGTTCAGGGATTCCCACTGGGGAGGGCTCCTTTTACAAACCATTCCCTTCAGTTTCTGAGCACCCACTGTTTGTGAGTAAGCATGGATTGGGTGCTGGCTAAATTGGCTCCATTAAAAAGCAGCACTGTCTTCATGAAGAGGGTTAGTGAAAAGAAACAGCTGGGTGAGGTCAATCACAAACTGAGTAAATCACATCAATTATACTGCACTGTCACAGTGAAAATAAATGTCCTTTGGTCTCCTCAGCCCCTGCGCCCAATACATTAAAACTAATTTTCTCCTCTCACAGGGTTTATTCATCTAAGAATACTTGCCTGGGAAGGAATTTACTGGCAGAAAAGTAGACATCCTCATTAAAATGACACCCAATATTTTCCAGACTGGATCTCAAGAGGGATAGGAAAAAAATTGAGAAATCTGGAAATGCAATGGTGGGGGCAGGGGGGGGGGGGGGGGAGAAAGAGTGTCAAACTACATTGTCAGGGATGGCATATTTCAGACAAGAAGGTAAACCTCAAATCCCCTCCTGCCTGTTGAGGTGGAAATTAAAAATACTGCAATACCATTGGGAGAAACAACATTCACTTTTCCGATGTCCTTGCCAATAATCCGCAAGATAAATTGGTCACTCACTGCTGGTCATTGCTTTTCGTGGGAGACTGTATTTAAGGCAACCACTTTGTCTCCAAATACAGTCATTCCACTCAGCACTTAAGTTAAGCTCTATATCAAACGCAAGTTTTTTTTTTAATAATCCTTGCATTTTTTTATAGCACCTTATCACATGATTGAACCGTCTCAAAGCACTTCACAGAATATACTGTAAAGTGAACTGATTGGATAGTTTGTGGGCGAAACGTGGCAGCCAATTGCGCATAGCAGTGTCCCACAAACAATCTTTGGGGTGGGGGGGGGAATCTATTAAGATAATATGCATCCAGGTTAGTATTATTTACTGCAATCCAGCTAGCTTACATATTAACTAAATATCTGTGGCTAACTGCCCCCGTCTACATTTTCCCTCACGTAACACAGTCCACACTTTTAAATTAATTATGAATTAAAACTCTAAACGGCCTATGGATTATACTCTTACCTTGGAATTCCAAGTTCCCTGCCTCTTCCAACAGCCCCTCCTTCAGTCCACTCAACGTCTCTACGATCAAGTCTCTCATTTCTTCCTGCTTTCGGTTCGCTATGTTCATCAGTGACTGGAAGAGTTCGTTCTCCTTATCCCGGGTGTACTCCAGCCTTTTGGGGGTGATCTGCAGGTCCCTCTGCATGTCGAAGGCCTGGTTGATGAAGATGTCCAGCGAGCGGCAGTGAACTCCGTTCAGCACTGTGGCTGCGTCCACCAAATGCATCTGCACCACCTGCTTGGCGAAGGCCCCGAGCTGCCGTAACTTCTCAATGTGTTCCACCAGCACGCTCTGGGCTTTGCCAGCGTTGGGCTGCCCGCTCCCAGCGGGGCCCAGAAAGTCCGACTTCAAGAGCTGCTGTAAAAGGGGGCTCTTTTCCTTCTCGAACTTCGACGCTTTCACCACCACCGGCACGTCCTTCTCCTGTCCCGAGTGAGACTCGGAGTTATTGTTGCACAAGTGTCGCGGCACTTTGATGAAAAACACAGGTAAAGAGAGTTTCTTCAACTCCTGCAACTCGTGTTCTTCAGACTCAGTCAAGTGCTCCTCACTGATGGCATAGACAATGATCGGCAGAGAGTATTTCAGACAGTCACTCAGCGTGCTCCCCTCAGACTGAGCCTCGCGGCATGGGAGAACTAGAATATCCATTTCCTAGGAATTTAGACAAAGGACGGTTATAAATGGATCAGGTGGGACATTGCTTATGATCTACAGCTTTATAGACTCTGCCAGCATTAATGATCTTTCTTTGCAGACTTCAAACTTACCAAGACCCCATTGGACACTCTGAAAGTTCAATCAGCAAGTACAGTAGTTGAGTGCTTAATCTGAGTGAATTATGAATGAAGTGCTACTTTGGAATGTAAAGTGTAGTGACTATTTTGTAGGCAAACGCAGCAGCAATTTGAGGAACAGGAATGTCCCACAAACAGCCATGAAGTGAACAACCAATTGTACTTGGGGGATTGTTCACAAAACACACAAAATGAATCAAGACAATTAATTAATTTTCTGTGATCTCAATAGCAATCATCTCAGGCTTCAATTAAGCTATTTTTAGCACTAAGAGCTACAGGAATTTTATTAATATAACCTCATTATTTGTGATGCTCAGTTACCTCCTTTTCTTTTTAAAATCACTTTTAAGCAACATTTATAAAGTGAAATTCTACACCTTCAACAACAAGAAATTACATTTGTATAGTGCTTTCCATGTCGGAAGGACGTCCCAAGATGCTGGACAGTCAGGGATTTGAACCCGAGCTGGGGGCTGGGATCAGGACGCGTGGAGGGCGGGGAGGGTAGGGGGTAGGAGTGTGGCCAAAGGCGCAGCAGAAGAGGAGGGTCTTGAGACAGGCCTTGAAGGAGGCAAGGGATTGAGCAAGGCGAAGGGACTGTGGGATGGAGTTCCAAAGGGTGGGGGCAGAGAGGCTGAGTAGGGCGGGCTGGGTAGGAGACATGGAGCCTGTTGAGCGGAAAGGTTGATATGGCGTTTGCAGTTCTCAGAGATAGGAAGGAGCAAGGCCATGGAGGGCTTCAAAAACGATGACGAGGATTTTGAACTCTATCCTCTGGAAGACGGGGAGCCAGTGGAACCGGGCGAGGGTACAAAAGAATCACTGAGCAAAATCATACACCAAAGATAAAATCTGTCCAAATTAAATTAGAATCCCTTTTGACCCTCGGTCTGGAAAGTGTTCAAAGTGCTCAATTTTTCCCCCCAGCGAGAAATTGAAGTCATGCCTCAAAAAGGATAAGAGTCGAATTGGAATTAAAATCACATGGAAAGTTCCTTTTAAAACTATTAAAAGCCCAACTCGATGGGTCTGCCCTTGCCTGCTGTGTGCTGAGAGATACACACACAAGAATGACTCCAGTCTAATCTGCTCCCACAATGGAGGCAGTCACTGGTATCTCCGCAATACCGAGCAGCAAATTTACGGAGGAACTCGTGCATTAAATGAAATCCTTCCAAAAAAAAAACAAACCCCTGAAAGGGCAAGGCCAGGACGACGAGCCGGGAAGCAGCGGTTACAACATGTAAGAGTTGCTGCCAAATGCCTTCAAGACGTCTCAAAGCGCTTCACAGAATGCACTGTAAAGTTAGTTGACTGTAAGCTTTGCGGCTGAAAGTAAAAAAGTCAAATGAATTCACCCCTCTGCCCACACACCACCCACAAGTTTTATTTTGGGACTTTCCAAATCCGAAGTACAATATTGCAAACGCCCCATATGAGAATGCAGGACAGGAGATTCAAGGGTTTTGAATAAGTTTCTATTCATTTTGAGGAAGTATCCAAGATGGTAACTTGGGCTAATTTTGCCTACAGCTGTCCACTGAGCTGATGCTTCCCCAAACATCATGGACACCAACATGATCATGGCATACTGAGAATATACTGAGCATACTGAAGAAAAAGGAGCAGGAGTAGGCCATTTGGTTCCTTGAGTCTACCCCGAGAGAATGGGCAGAAACACACAGCTAAATAATTCCACAGTACAAAGTGCTGATGACACCCACGCACTGCCCTACTCTACTCGAAGTGGCTTCCAGAACAAACACAGATGTGCGTGGAGCCCGAACACAAGCAGCTACAAGAAGTTTGGGAAAAAAGGAACATTTAATTAGCAGCGCTGGACTGATGTTCCCCTTCCATCGGTCTTCAAAATCAATTAAAATGTCCAGTGATCTTTCTCGCAAATTTCGTTACTGCAACGAGGGAAATTGGCAACACGCTGGTGATGTTCGTGCCAATTAACGCCGGACCTGCATGTCGGGCGCGCTCTAATGTTATTAGAGGCACCCTCTTTATAAATATCTTGCGGGTAGTGTCGAATATCCGCTGTGCAAACAAAGAAACCTAAGTCTGCTTCTCACAGAGGGCTGTCGGAATGTGGAAAGCTCTGCCCCAGAAGGCCGTACGAGCTGAATCAATCGGATGGATGGGAGACGCGAAGATACAGGGCAGCCCTGTTAGAACAAGGCCCAGTTCAGTGTAGGTTTACTTAAAAGTTCACGTTTGCTATGGATCCGCAACTTTTACTCCAACAGAATCTAAATCGATCCCTGGTACCTCAGTTACACCCCACACCGGGGTCAACTGAAAGAACTTATATAAAACCAGTAAACTCTAAAAATCAGAAGTGCTGCCCCAAGAGAGCACATTCACTGGAGGGGAAAATAGTTTTTATTTTTGATCAATCCAAAGACAGACCCCTCTGAAGTGGTTTCCTTGAATGAGCATTCGGCCCAAACCACCCTCACAAAAAGCGCAAAGACAACATCCCCATTAAACATACTCCTTGGAGAATCAACTGACAACCAAACTGCCATCTATGTCAATGACCCAAATTATTCAAATTTAATCCAATCGGGCAGTCAGACCCAGTTCTGTCTGCTGTCCCATACATCACAGTTCACTTTCATACAACAACAGATTGCTTTTCTAGTCAATTGCCAAGGTCCAAAATAAAGTCAGAGACAGGAGTGCAGCCACAACTTTAGCTATTGAATGACTCATCTGCAGAATGAATTGCACGCACAAAAAATCTCGTGCACAAAAACAGCAGCACTGTATGAAGACCGGAAGGATTAACAGCTGGAAACATTGGTTTTGAAATCGCAAGCTCCTTCTGTATTGTATATGGCAAGATGTTTCCTCTTTCTGAACCCAACCTTATAGATTCCTATACGAGTTTGTGCAAGTTTTATCACTTATGGAGTCCTGTAGCATATTGGTTAGATCACCCGCCTCCAAGCGAAAGGACCTGGGTTTGATTCTTGAGCAGGGCGAAACCTTTAGGTAAGTTTTCTTATGCCACACGCCTCGGTTTACCTAGCAGTAAGTAGGAACCTGATTGTTAGTTGATTGGTGGATCGCTAACCAGGTTATTAATCCCTCCCAAAAAAATTATTCAATAAATAAACTCATTCAGCAATGATGGAAGCAATTTGAACTGTTAAGCTCCATCACAGCACAGAGCCAAAGCTCCTCCAAACACTACTCGCTTTCTCCCTTTCTCTATGGCAATAGTCAGCATGTTTTTGTTTTAAGAAACATTCAATAGAACTAAAAGAGTGGTAAAGGTGGAAAAGGTAAAGTGCGATATTCTAATATAGCTGGTGTCCAACAACGTTAAACCCCCGAAGAGATTAGCGAGGTGCAATTTCACAAACGACAGCAGTATTTGGAATGGATTAAGGTTTAATCACTATCTCTCAATGGACTTTGTACATATTGGATAAAATTTAATGGGGACCTTTTGTGCAGCAATCAATTTTTTATATATATCCGTTACCCAATATTCACATAGCTACAATCTTTAGGGAAAAACAGGTTTGGATATAAAGAGATAGATAGACCTCAGCTCATGTAAGACAGTGGATTTCTATGTCACACAAGGCGGCCTTCAGACTTGACCAGAACTTAATACTCTTAGTTCTGATCTCCCATATGCACCCAAAATACCCTTCATAAATCTAGATATTCATTGGTCCTATGATTAAAGTGTGTCTCTTCATTCACCAAAAATGGCACAGTGTGTGAAAGGCTAGGATTTGAAACTAAGACTGCCAAGCAAACAACAACAATTTGCATTTATATAGCTCCCCTTTTGCAGGGCAGTGTCCAGAGCGCTTGAAACATGAATATAGGTGACCGTTATCGTGAGGGCAGTCTGTTCGAGGGTGTGTGAAGCTTTTCAAAATAACAACTTGTCTATCCATTTAAAAGCAAGTTGGAATGCAGTATCAAAGGGGACAGTACAGAAGTGACCAAAAAGTGGATTAGCATTAACTAAACGTTGAAATTAGAGCCTTACATTAACTAATGATTCATTTTCTATTTCTTATGCTAACAGGGCATAGAATTTCTCAGGTAAAAGAAGTCCCGAAAGTCCTACAAAAAAAGTGAGGAGAAAAATCAATCACAGGTGATGAATGCAAATACAAGGATCATTATCACGTCTGCTCTATAGATCAGATTTAGGCTATTCTGAAACGACGCATTTCAGTTCTGCATCAAAAGCCCCCAATTCCATTGGGAGAGGAAGAAAGTAGAAGGTCAGGAAAGGAATCTCTAGCCAACCTGCTTTAAATTAAAATCCTGGACTCCTAGTATTCTAATCCTGGGCTTCAACAGTGTTAAATACCAGGAACTAATGAGTCATTTTCCACTTCTTATGCTACCTGGATGTGAAATTTCTCAGTAACTTACAACTTTCAGTAATAAGACAGCAGAATGGGGAGATAGATCATGATTCGTCTCCAGACAGACATCTGGAATGTTCCTCAGAAACATCGCAAACATCATGAGGAGACAGTACAAAAGTAAGTTTTAAAAGCATTGTGTAACTATACAAAGAACAAGGTCGTTAAAAGTTTTAATGTACTGTAAGGCTTCAGTGAGTGCCAACTGAACTCCTCCTTTTGGCCAGATCGCCAACTTAACCCCAAAATAGTCTTCAACAGAGTTTGTACATTATGCTGAGGATATTAGTACTGTATTTGGGATAAGGTCATCAGCAAATAGAGCAACAAACGATTGGCCAATTTGCCAACTCAAGAATCTTTCTTTTGTAGAAGCTTTTTTTTAAAAAAAAACTTTTTTGTGGGCAAAGGCACTTATAGACAACAAAAAGTATTATTTGGTGAAGTGGGATCAATTATTAGTTAGGAAGTAGGTTTCAAGTGGTTGCCCTCATCGGTTTTTATCCTCTCATTGAGACAGAAAGGCACAAATGCGCACACTGAGGACATCCTGCACTGGTGTAAAATGGTTTCATCGGAAAGATAAAAGCAAAGGAAAACAAAGTGATACTGCTGAGGACTGTAAATTTGCAATTCTGAGAATATTTTAAATATCTCAATATATTTTGAGTTGATATTTCAAATAATGGCGGATCGCCTTCTGGTGGTAATAAGCCTTGCAAAAAAAATAATAATACGGTCACTCACTCAAACCACGACTGTTTGTGGGACACTGCTGCGTGCAATTCGCTGTCGCGTTTCACCCACAAACTACGGTCAATTCACTTTACAGTGTATCCGGCGAAGCACTTCACGACATCTCAAAATGTGATAAGGAGCTATATTAAATGCAAGGATTAATATTATAAAATAAAAAACAGCCTTTGTCTAGCTACAATGGGCAGCCAACATTCAGGGAACCACTAGAAATTCTTCCCAAACAAGGCACGGGTGAACATCATTACCTGCAACAAGGGATGATGTAGTGTAACCTCCAGATGCGCTAATCTGTGTGCGGGGTCCTCATTGCTGTCCTGCATATTCAGATCCTCTTCGGGAATGGTATCCCATTTCCTTTGGTGGGCAGCGAGATGATGTACCAACACGTACTGTCCAGGCAATGCCAAACTGATACTGGTTCTCTTTCCGTGAGTGAACTTCAGACGCCTCCTCCTGCAATTTTTTTCGTTGCTGTTCTTGACAACTGGTAAGAGTTTTTCACCCAAAACACAATTGAGTACATGGCACTTTGCCCCACAGTTCTGGCCCAAGATCAGAATACATGGAAAGCAGCCCACTGCGGCATGGAGGTAATCCTCTTCGTGTTGTGGGAATGATATGCAGTCTGCCGCACCTAGGAGAGAAACAAGGCAGTTTGGAAGGTTAATATTTATTAATTATTATAATCCTTGCATTTGATACAGCGACTTATCACGTCTTCTAGAGGTCTCAAAAAATATACTGTAAAGTGAATTGACTGTTTATTTTGTGGGTGAAAGGTGGCAGCCAACTGGCAGAGCAATAGTCGTGGATTGAGTGACCAAATTATTAGTTATTTTTTTAAAGGGATTATTACCCGCCAGAAAAGCTCTCCACCAAACGACCAACAACTAGGTTCTGACTTACTGCTAGGTAAATAGAGGAGGACAGAGTAAGGAACCTGCCTAACATTTCGCCCTACCTGGGAATCGAACCTAGGTCCTCTTGCTTGTGAGGCGAGTGCTCTAACCACTAATCTACAGGTCTTCACACAGAAGGTGAGATGGAAATGTGGAAATTTCTTATTGCAAAAGGGATTAAGGGATATGGGGATAAGGCAAGGTCAGGTTATTAGCTGGAGTTAGATTGGAAGATCAGCCATGATTGAATGGCGGGGCAGGTTCGAAGGGCCGAATGGCCTACTCCTGCATGTTATGTTATGAAAGAGAGTGTCTACTGGAAAACTTTCAGGAGAGGAGGAGAAAAGCAAACCAATCATCAAGATCCAGCAGTGAATTTAAGGTATTCATTTGAGGAGCCTCAATGGTATTTAACACCCTTGTTGTTGTTTTGTGAACTACTCAGTTCAACAAAGCAGTAATTCAGGATCTGCCAAATCTGTTCTTTATACAAGCTTTCATTATTTAATAATTGTACATACATTACAGAAATTGTACAGCACGAAAAGAGGTCATTCAACCCACCTAGTCCGTGCTGGTGTTTAGTCTCCAGATGAGCCTCCACCCCTGCTCATCCCCTCCTCCTTGCCACTCTATACCCTCTCTCTCCCCTCATGTTTCCATTCCCTGTACAGCGGAGATGGCAAATGGGACACTGACGTAGGCCCAGCAAAAACAAACAGCAACACAGATAAGGTCTTGGCACAAGTGAGAGGGATAAACCACATCTTAGATCTCTCTCAGGCACAAGGATATTAATCATGAGATCCTTCCACTACCCAAGGCTTTTACTCTTGCATTGTGGTACAGTGGACAGCTTGTGGCCGCCTCTCAATATCCCTTCAGCAGGGTTAAAAAACAAGCTTGATATTCGGTCAGTTGAAATTTCTGATTCGGGTCTGGCAACGCACCACTGTTTATTACACCGTCCAATAAATAAATGGTGACCACACAGTCCAACCAGGGCTGGCAAGACTCGGGCTGGTTGGAAATAAATTGTATACAAATGCAGAAATGTCAACCTTTCTGATTTTAGATGGGCCGAGATGCAGCAGTAGAAAGTTGGGGCTTGGACCCTTTTGCTTGACAATCTTCCTGCAGGGATAATAATAATAATCCTTGCATTTGATATAACGCCTTATGACTTCTTTGAGACGTCTCAAAGCGCTTCACAGGATATACTATGAAGTGAATTGACTGTATATTTTGTGGGCAAAACCCGGCAGCCAATTGCACTCGGCGCAGGACTAGGGCCTGCCTGGTGTTGTCAGGCGAGGAAGAGATTCAAGGTTAAAAAAAAGGCTTATTTAAGACTAATCTACCTTCCAATACACAAGACAACCACTGCAGAATGTGTGATCTTTGACAGTATGTCTGAGTAACAAAATAAGTTGGAATAAAACAAGTGGTAGCACAAAGGATTCAACCTGACAGCTCCAGTAATATTGCAAGACTTGAAGCATTTCTTGAGCAAGAAATCTGTGACATTTCACTTCCCTCCCTGCAAATGATTGCAAATTGTTAGTCTATTATTATCATTATCACATACAAAATACAGTCAATCCACTTTACAGTATATTCTATGAAGCGCTTTGAGACTTCCCAATGATGTGATAAGATGCTCTATCAAATGTAAGTAATATTATTATAAAATTCACCAAAAAGAGGTTGACTTTAGTCATTTATCATATTGCGGTTTGTGGGACATATTGTTGACACAGATTACCTGCTGAGTTTATCTACATAACAGTTAATAATACATTACAAAACAACTTATTCTGAATAGTACTGTGAGATATTTTCAGATAAGATGATACATCAAATCATAATTATAACGTGCTTAAAGTCATTCAACCTACATGAAAAGGGAAAAATCCAACATGAAAAGGAAAAAATGTAAAAGCAAATGCAAGTTGCTCTTGTATTAGCTGCAATAGATGAGACATATCATGGGAGCGAACCTCAATGTACATATTCATGAATCTAAAAAACCCCCCACAAGTAATCACAAATACTTGTTCTGACAAGTAATTTTAACTCAGTGGGAATTCACCATGTTTCCATTATCCGACTCTTCATTTAACTACAGAGGAACGTGCTATTGAGAACGTAATTACATGATATCCAGTGATGTGGTCAAGCCTGCTGCCTGAATGGCTCTGGCATTTATAGTTGGATTTAAAAAAAAACAGGGGCAAGGGACTGGAGGATGCCCAGCACCTGCGAAACTACAACTAAGGAGGAAAACAGAAATTGATTGCTAAGTCTGAAAGCTAACTACATCCATTTACCTTCCCCCTTTGTCATTTTTGTAAAAGTATCAAACCACAATTGCAGAGTGACCGTAACTTCCGATTCAAACCCACAAGAGATTTGTGGCACCACAAAATAATAAATGTAACTAACACATTGCACTAACTGCTGATCTGCAGATAAGGTTGAGTTAAATGCACTGAATTAATTGTAAAAAATGCAATTAGCTGAATTAATTAAATAATTTAAATCAACACTGGTCTACTGCAATACAGATTAAAATGCAGTTATTTACTACTGTTTGTGCGACATTGAAGTCCACAGATTAGCTGCTGTGTTTAACAGTAAAATGCAAGAGAGCTAATCAGAGTCTCCTTGGAGCTGCACTGGCTGAAGGGTGGTCCTTGCCGGACAAGCAGCAGAAAGCTTACCAGACTGGGAATGCAATGGCAAGCGAAGTGGTTTTAACTGGTTAGACTCCAGCAGTTACCCCAACGCACACTCTGGGGTGCCCAAACCTTGGCCGTTTGCCAACCTGCACCCATTTCTCAAGAATTCGGTAAGCAGGATGTGTCCCCTCTGAGGAGAGGGTGCGCATGCCATTCCAACATCTCGGGAATTTCCCACGGGTGGAATCTATTGGGTTTGAATACTCTTAAGCATGGCGATGGGTTGCAGTAAACCAAAGTAAATCACTGAGAGAGTGCGAATGCGCTGAATTACTGCGAACAGCGAGGGGAAGGTTTCCCCTCACTGGTTTTATCGGGTTGAAGGCGTGAAACCAATCCGTGGGGTTTTAACACAGGGGCAGGCAGAGAGACACACACATCCAAACAAGTCTCGTCTCGCCCACAAAATGCACTCAATCCATTTTACAGTATAATCTGTGAAGCAAATTGAGACTTGATAAGGTGCAATATTATTATTATTATTGTTATTATTATGTCAGCTCTGAGGGGGGACTGGAATTTTCCTAAACCCTGGGAAAGCTCGCCCGACGGCCATCAAGAAGTTGAGGGGAGGGTTGACTCGGAAGAGAAGGTTGAGGGGCGATATGATTATGGTCTTTAAGAAAATAATATCTCGGGATATAGTATACAGACACACACACACAGAGACACAGTACATAGACATACACAGACAGACAGACACACACAGACACACACACACACAGAGACACAGTACATAGACATACACAGACAGACAGACACACACAGACAGAGACACACACAGAGACACACACAGACAGAGACACACACAGACAGAGACAAACACACAGACAAACACACACACACACAGAGACACACACACACAGAGACACACACACACACACAGAGACAGTACATAGACATACACAGACAGACACACACAGACAGAGACACACACAGAGACACACACAGACAGAGACAAACACTCAGACAGAGACACACACACACACAGAGACACACACACAGACAGAGACACACACAGACAGAGACACACACACAGACAGACACACACACACAGACAGAGACACACACAGACAGACACACACAGACAGACACACACACACACACACACACACAGACACACACACAGACACAGTATACAGACACAAACACACACGAAGACAGTCTATGGTTCGGGACAGGCCATGTCCAGGCGACTGGTGGAAGGCGAACTGGATGGGGACCTCGGTCTCCTCCCGCCTGGTCAACCCCCGCGTCCCCCCCGGACCCCCGGACCCCCGGGCCGGGCCTTACCTTCCAGCGGGCCCGGGCCCCCGCCCGCCGCCGGCCTCAGTTCCCTGAAGTACTTCTTGGTCTCCTTCAGGTTCTGTTTGAGGTACGAGACGTGCTTGGACCAGCCGCTGAACGTGCGGATCAGCTCCCTGGCCACGGGCGTCAGCGACTTGCCCCCCGTGGCGCCGCCCTCCATCCTCGGGCCGGCGGCTGGGCTCCGGGGCCGCTCCGCTGCGCTCGAGCTCCGGCTCCTCATCGCCGACGCCCCGCGCCCAAAGCCACTGCTGGGAAAGCCGGCCCGCCGCCTGCTGGGACATGTAGGCCCGCGGGGGCATGCCGGGAAATGTAGGCCATGCCCCGTCCTGGCGCGGAGCGAGCGAGCGAGCCTGCGCGCGCACCGCCACCCCCCCCCACCACCCGTCTCTGGGTGGTGTCATCAGTTGCGCCATGGGAAATGTAGGCGGGTTCCCAACGCATTGTGGGTAATGTAGTTCTCCCCACCCCACTCCACTCCAACGACCCCATCCTCACTCAAGGCAATGTGTATAGTCCTCCTATTCTTTTTCTCTTCCCCCCACCCCCCCCCCATCCCCACCCCCACCGATTACCCAACTTTCTAAACACTTAGACAGCAATAACAATTAGCATTTACACAGCCTTTCACACTGTGAGGACATCCCAAGACGCTGGACAGTGAACGATTGGGGTTTCGGGTCAAGAGCGGTAGATGGTAGAAGGGATGGGAGGATGGCCAAAGGCTTTCCCCCCACTCCATCCTCCCCGCCCCCCAGCTCAGGTCTGTAACTCTGTCTGTCCAGCGCTTTGGGACGTCCTCCCGATGCGAAAGGCGCTTTGCAAATCTAATTTTGTTATTGAATAATAATAATCCTTGCATTTTATCCAGTGCCTTAATCACATCTTCGAGATGTCTCAAACCGCTTCACAGAATATACTGTAAAGTGAATTGACCATATTTTGTGGGCGAAACGCAGCACAGAGGTGTCCCACAAACAGTTGTGGATTGAGTGACTCCCATTTTTTTTGAAGGAGGCAAGAGATGGGGAGAGGCAAAGGGATTCCGGGAAGGAGTTCCAGAGGGTAGGGGCCGAAAGGTTGATGTGGGGATGGAAAATGTTCTTCAATTTTAGCTTGGTTTAGGCATGAGGGGATCTCCAAGTACTGCTCTTCATATAGCATGAGCTGGGTGAAATCTAGGGTAAACTCTTGGGAAGACACAATGACCAGATAGTAGGCCTTCCCTCGTCCCATGGATTCCCATTTTTTTTCTAGAGAGGAACTTTGTCGGTTTTGACTTGTTTGCAAAGGTGACAAGGCAATGCAAGGAAGATTACAGCTCACAGAGACTGTATATATACACTGGGTCAGCTGATTAAAGTTGTTATAAAAAAAACACAACTGTGGACTGCCAACAAGAAATCCCAGGAGGCAGAAAGAGAGAAGCCTCTCTCAGTTGAAATAGAAACTCAATCACTGTTTCTGAAGTACAGTATGTTCAAATTTAAAAATTATCTGGAAGAAGACAGCTCATTTCCAATCATTTCTTAGAGATAGGAATATATATATATATATGTGAATGTTCCCAGGCACATACGCACACCAGTTGCTCCCTGACTCACATACAAAAAATATAGATTTCTGTATCAAATGCAAGCAAAAGCTGACAAGTATAAATACTTGCACAATCTTTGATATTCAGACTCGCAGCAAAGGGGCTCCCTCCAATGGCTCAGCTTAGATCATGCACTAACAAATCATATAGAATAGGAAGATTTCAGGTTGGGATCTCAGCTGGACAGCAGTGAAGTACGAACATTGGTCTTAGCATCACTGGACTAGATACATCAGTCAGGATATGTGCAACTGATTATCGTTCACTGACCCTTGCTGGAAAGTAAATGCTTGGTGAGATTGGGTGATTGGGCTCAGCTGTGAGGGAGGATCAGCATGTCAACACTCAGTGTGGAGGTGGACACTCATCTCATGTTTACCTTTCAGTGGTGCACTCAACATAGACCAAAGATTGACCTGGGACTTTCCAGTTTCGAATGGTATCAGCTCAACACCATGCGTTTACCCAGAGTCATCTGGGAACCTTGGGAAGGAAACCAATCCCTTTATAAGTATTGCTATTTTTAGGCATCACCATTAGATAAACTCCAATACCTTTACAAATGGTTCATTATATAACAAATTACTGAATATTCCCATTGTACATATGAAAATATTTGCAACATTTCAATTTTAAAATGAGGAAAATAATTGTATTTGATATTTATTGAAATATCACTGCTTTTCTCTTATATCCAGATCTCATTATTTTAATTCGTTTCTCCGTGCAGTTATATTTCATTTATTTTTTCTTTGTGTGTGCAGCGGTGTGTATATTTGCTCATTTATCTGCCAGTCTATCGAATCCCTCTCACTTTCATGCTCTCTGCTTCTATCCCTTCCATACTCGCGCACTCATTTTTCATCTTTTGTCATTTCCATTAGCATTTAGAAAGATTTACAGTGTGTGTTCAGTGGGGGGGGGGGGGGGGAGGATAGGGAGGGCAGAATGGTCTCCACACTGCCAAGGAATAGATAATACCCCACATTCAGGGTCTTAATTCTCCTGACAATTTTACATGCCTTTGTTAACAAATTCTCAGCATATGTCTGTATGGCGTGAAGTGTTCAGATGTCTATGAGTCACCTCAACCTGGGACCTCACAAAGATAACACAAGGGCGTTATTGAAGATATTTATAACAATTAATATCTGTCGAGATCATGCAGAAATTTCTGCAAAGCACTATTTATGAAAATTTTGATCACAATTGGAAGAGTCACAAAAATACACATCAATTACACATAATAATCCTTGCATTTGATACAGCACCTCATCAGGTCTTTGAGACATCTTAAAGCACTTCTCAGAATATATTGTAAAAGTGAATATGTCGTGGGCGAAACGCGGCAGCCAATTGTGTTCTGCAATGTCCCACAAACAGTTGTGGATTGAGTGACCAAATTATTATTATTTATTAATTTAATTTTTAATTAAACACAACAGACCCCAAGCACATAAGAGGCAGGAAAACAAGCCTCTCTGCAAGATTGTATAATGGAATCACACAGCACATCATCATCTTCACGTTCAATGTTCCCAATTTAAGGTTATTTTTAATCCTCTCTGTTGTTAAATCAACAAATGAACCCAAGATACTTTATTAATTGAATTGATCCTCAGAGAGTATGAAAATAAAAAAAATTGTGGGTTTCTCCACCTCAGCACAGGCCATAATTTCAGCAGTCACAAACACAGTCACAGAGAAGCTGGAGACTTTACATCCCATTGAATGGTCATTTCCAAATGTTTATCTTCGGTTAAATATTATACAGCTAATTCATCTCTTTGACATCATGAATGTATTTGTTTTCATCAGAGGAGGGAGGAAAGAGAGTAGTGATATCCACTCTTCCAGATACTGAACAGTTTTAGACTATAACTGTGACATGAATTAGACATTTGCCAGATTATACAGTACCGTTTGTGTTGGAGTAGATTCGTTTTATTCATAGGGGCACATACATTTATCATCCTGGGATACATCTCCCCGCACTTATGACAGTTTTGTTGCTTTAAGCAACCCAAAGCATACATTTTATAATTACATTAAATAATTACTGCCATCCTTTATTACTAGGACAAAACAAGATACAGTACATCTGTATATTCAAAAAGCTTTGGTTGCTTTGATCACTGTAGATTGAGGAGACTTGAATTGTTTTTGGGGGTGGCGGTTCTTGATTCTAAGCGTTCTGAGATGCTCCCCCACGTGAAAGAAGCTATATAAATGCACACTGTTATTATTTAGGGTTCAGGGAGCTTCTCTATGCAGAACTTTTCCAACAATAAAGCAACAAACCGGACAAATGGAAGCCATGCAGATGCGTAGATCTCAGTAGTTTGGTTTGGAGACTAAGCTTGATGGGTCAAATATTCCTTTTCTTGTCCAATATTTTTTGTGGTCTCCTATATGAGTGCAAGGATCTTTCTAATAATCAGTATCACAATAAAAGGCAGGTTTCCTTTCTAAACTATGCTTACTTTGTAGCTACTGTTTGCTCTATTGAAAGCGAAGAGAATTTTGAAAAAATCAAGACTCCGAGATATATGCATCCACAGCATTTCAATTGGTTACCAGGTCTTGTGACATTAAAAAGCTCCCTGAAGGCTTCATTGGTGGAATTACTTGTGACTGAAATGATCAATGAGCTTGTTTGTTTATCGGCTAACTGAAGGCTCTCTTCCCCATACTGTACAAAGCCTAGTTGATAAGGGTAGACTACGTCCATATTGCACGCACCAAAATCAGAAAAGGGCAGAAAAGGTAGTCCAAATTGGCAGGGAAATTTCAGGGAAGTGCCCTGGGTACAAACGATCTGTGACTCAAATTAATTCAGATGTATTTTGAGGCATCTGTTCTCAACTACACAACCCTTTTATTTTGTAACTTCTGCAACTGAGTATTAGTAAAGTCACAATCAGAAGCCGATTTGAAGAAGAATATGCAATCCAGCCTTCCAAGGCCTGAACCTTCTCATGATCGTAGCTTTATGAGTTGGATGCATCATTGAACTATGGCAACCATCCACTTGTTCGGTTGGCCATTAATAATAATAATAAAGATCCCACAAATACTATTGAAAAAGAGACATAACGTAACATGTAGGAGCAGGAGGAGGCCATTCGGCCCTTCGAGCCTGCCCCGCCATTCAATCATGGCTGATCTTCTAATCTAACTCCAGCTAATAACCTGACCCTGCCTTATCCCCATATCCCTTAATCCCTTTTGCAATATGAAATCTATCTATAACATAACATGTAGGAGCAGGACCCGGCCAATGATCCTCTAATTACTTACTCACCTTCATCAATGTTTGTGGGACCTCGGCTGTGCATAAATCAGCCATCCTGGAAAGTACACAGCAAAAAAAAAAATCACTACGCTTTACATCGAATCCTCAGCTTCAAGTCCACACCGGCTCACAAGAGCGTTAATAACAATCCTTGCGTTGGGTTATGGTTCCTTGTATCTATTTGTGTACGTATGTATGTAATAATAATAGTAATCCTTGCAACTGGCACAGCGCCTTCCACGTCCGGGAGGATGTCCTAAAGCTCCTCACAGGATTTGCTGTGAAGTGGAGTGACTGCGTACTTGCGGCCAAACATACATGTGCATATAATAATAATAATAGAATCACAGAATTATACAACACAACAACCACAACATGATTGCACTTACAGAGCGCCTTTCACGTCGGGAGGACGTCCCAAGGCAATGGACAGTTGGGTCGGGACCCGAGCATTGGGGGGAAATGGTCAGGGTGAGGGGAGGGAGGGGGCGAGGAGGGGGGAGATGGACAGGGTGAGGGGAGGGAGGGAGGAGATGGTCAGGGTGAGGGGAGGGAGGGAGGAGATGGTCAGGGTGAGGGGAGGAGGGGGAGATGGTCAGGGTGAGGGGAGGGAGGGGGGAGATGGTCAGGGTGAGGGGAGGGAGGGGGGAGATGGTCAGGGTGAGGGAGGGAGGGAGGAGATGGTCAGGGTGAGGGGAGGGAGGGGGGAGATGGTCAGGGTGAGGGGAGGGAGGGAGGAGGGGGAGATGGTCGGGGGGGGGGAGGGAGGAGGGGGGAGATGGTCGGGGGGGAGGAGGGGGAGATGGTCGGGGTGAGGGGAGGGAGAGGGCGAGGAGGGGGGAGATGGTCGGGGGGGGGAGGGAGGAGGGGGAGATGGTCGGGGGGGGAGGGAGGGGGGAGATGGTCGGGGTGAGGGGAGGGAGGGGCGAGGAGGGGGAGATGGTCGGGGGGGGGGGGGAGGGAGGAGATGGTCAGGGTGGGGGAGGAGGGGGGAGGGGGAGATGGTCGGGGGGGGGGGGAGGGAGGGGGAGATGGTCAGGGTGGGGGGGGAGGGCTGAAGACGCGGCTGAAGAGCAGGGTGGGGATGGGGATGTGGGGGGGAGGTGGGGGGGCAGTAGTAACCCGGGCATCGGACACAGGGCCTCATCGCGCCTCCCAGACGCGTCTCAAAGCGCTTCGCGAGGACACACTGTAAAGTGGAGTGACGGTATAGTTTGTGGGTGATGTGCAGAGACACAGAGACACAGTGCGTGTGTGTGTGTGTCCTCTCCTCACCTCCTTCACCCTCACTCGGCGCTGACACCGAACACTCTCTCGCGCCCTCTCGCTCTCTACACACACCCACACCCTCGCGCCGAGCGCAACCTAACCTGAATGCGGCCCCACAAGCCCCGCCCCCGCCCCGCCCCCCCCTCGCGCGCCGCCGCCGCCGCCGCCGCCTCTCGAGTGGACGTCACCCGACAACCGACCGCTGATAGGCCCACCCGCCGGAGCCAATCAGAGGAGCGCCTGGCAGCCGAGTCCTGAGCCGCCGGTAGGTGGAGGCGCACGTCAATCGGGGGCGGGGGCGGGGGGGGGAACGCCGGATTCCGACACCTGATTGGTTGAGGTGGGTGTCGCTCAAGGCGGTGGGCGGGCGGGAAGGCGGGAGGCGAGCAGGTTAGGTTGAGGAGGCGGGCGGTCTCCCCCCGGCGGCTGGAAGGCGCGGGTCCGGGAGTCGAGGCGGCGAAAGTCGGTCGTTGGGGCTGAGGAGGTGTGAGGGGGGGGGACTCGGTGATGGCGATTCGAAAAATTCACACGACACCGCGTTCGGTGATGGCGGCGGTGACGGCGGCGGTGACGGCGGCGGTGACGGCTGTCTCGGTCACCAAGTGCAAATTTATGAAGTAAAAAAAAAAACGCCTCTTGGGTTTGGTCCCCCGCGGAGGTAACCTCGGCCTCATTTTTTTTGCGCTCTGAGGGGAGGGAGGGAGGAGGTGTGATGTGATGGTGGGTGTGGGTGTGGGGGGTGATGTGTGTGTGTGTGATGTGTGTGTGTGATGTGTGTGGGGGGGGGGTTGATGTGTGTGTGGGGGGGTGATGTGTGTGTGTGGGGTGATGTGTGTGTGGGGTGATGTGTGTGTGTGGGGTGATGTGTGTGTGTGGGGTGATGTGTGTGTGGGGGTGATGTGTGTGTGGGGGGGTGTGTGTGGGGGGTGATGTGGGGGGGGTGATGTGTGTGGGGTGATGTGTGTGTGGGGTGTGTGTGTGGGGGGTGATGTGTGTGTGGGGGGTGATGTGTGTGTGGGGGATGTGTGTGTGGGGGTTGTGTGTGTGGGGTAGGTGGTGTGGATGTGTGGGGGGGTGATGTGTGTGTGGGGGGTGATGTGTGTGTGTGGGGGGGGTGATGTGTGTGGGGGGGGTGATGTGTGGGGGGGGTGATGTGTGTGGGGGGTGATGTGTGTGTGGGGGGTGATGTGTGTGTGGGGGGTGATGTGTGTGTGGGGGGGGTGATGTGTGTGTGGGGGGGGGAGGTGATGTGTGTGTGGGGGGGAAGTGATGTGTGTGGGGGGGGGAGGTGATGTGTGTGTGGGGTGGTTGATGTGTGTGTGGGGGGGGAGGTGATGTGTGTGTGGGGGGGAGGTGATATGTGTGTGGGGGGGGGGTGTTGATGTGTGTGTGTGTGTGTGTGGGAGGGTGATGAGGGGTGGGGTGGGGGGTGTTTAAAAGGCTTGTCGACGGGAAATTTACCTCATGAAAACCCCCCCCAAAAAAAATCCAGCTTTAATTTAATTTTCTCACCCTTGAAACTTAAAGGAATAAACGCTATTTTTATATATTTATATATAGATTTATATTTATTTAATGATATGTATATAATACATATATTTGGCGTGTGTTTTTAGTGATCCACAGGAGCTGCCCTGCCTTTCCTCGTCGTGTTAACAAGAGTCACTTTTTTTGTGGGATGGGGGGGGGAGGGGGATTCTTTTTGAAAAGAAATACACCCTCTGGGTTTTCATTTCTCTCAAAAAATCCATAAATCCCAATTTTATGCAGTTATTTGGTCCAATAATAACAATGATGATGATGATATTAATGATTATTATAGCTACTGACGTACCTATATGCGCCTCTTTCGTTAACAGATGAAGCGGTGCAAATCCGATGAGATACCCCTGGATGAGGACCACGGGATGAAGGCAAGAGCTGGCGGTGCTGATGCTGGGATGAAGGACCATGTCTACGGGGATGCTCCTCAGGATGCCTCCTGCCCCTCTCTCCCTCCGCCTTCGTCCTCCCGCAACAACAAAACGCCAGATCTTAAGGTAAACCCACATCCCCGAAGATCAACGATCGTTATTTTATCACTTTTTTTTTTAAAAAATCACCTTCGTACAGTATCTTTCATGTCGGGTGTGTGTTGAAGCACAATGGCTGAGATGGGTCCTAAGGTAGGCTTCGACAGTGGGAAGGGAGCGAGCAGGCCAAGGCGGGTGGACTCAAGGGATGGAGTTCCAGAGAGTGGACGCAGAATCCATGAAAGCTTGCCCATCCATGGTTAGGTGAATTAGGCGTGGTTTCTTCTGGTAAGCCAGTGTTCACTGAGCAGACAGATTTCAAGTCTTTGGAATTTATTATTATTTTTTATTATTATAAGTGTTTGGAAGGTTTTGTTCCCCCCCCCCCCCTCCGTCCCACCATCCTCAGGCTCAAGTTGACACCTGTCATTGCCAAGATTCCAGTCCTGCCAGTTTTTGTTATCGGTAATGTCGCGGTGTAATGTTGTTATATAGGAAAATGGGAACAGGAGTACGCCATTCAGCCTCTCGAGCCCTTTTCCCTCATTCTATTCGATTATCGCTGATCGCTACCTCAGCTCCAAATTTTTATTTTTTTATGCTCTGGTTTGTAAGGGCAATCATGGCCCCCTCAAGAGTTATCATAGGTGGCTTAAATTTCAAACAAAAACAAGTGACTAATGTCTAGCATTTTACTTGTCCGGATCCTGCATCCTATACTTGGTGGCACAATGCATCAATGCACTGCTGCACTTTGGCAGCTCATGCTTTCTGGTCACTTTCGAGTGATCAGACTATTTTTGTCCTTATTACTTAGTTGCCTTCCTCCTTCCCTGATTGAGTTCGCTGTTTTCCTGGTTTTATGTCAACCATTTCCAACCTTCTTCATTGTGGGTGTTTGTTTCCATTATCCTGGCCTTTGTATATTTGACCTTGATGCATAGGTGGAGAAATGTCTTGATATGAAAAGACATTCTTGGAAACTTAAGTTTTTTTTTGTTAAGGTTCCCCTTCCCAACAAATTAGAGAGTTAAAGGTAACAAAAATAAATACGGGTGACATTCCAGTGATCTGATAGATTAAATATACCAATAGAACACAAATCTACATTTCCCATTATTTCAAGCTTGAGTATGTTAGAAGCATAATTCTGAAATAAATTGGCTGCATTGAGTTTCGTAAAGAAACAATGAGGAATCTAAAATTAGGAACAAAATGGCATTCACTTAAGCTTTGTTTAAGTTATTGACATAAAATGGTGTGTGTACATCACACCTACGTGCATATCTTTATGCCTTCTAAGTTTAGCTGTATATTCCCTTCCCCCAGAAAATATAGCAAGGGATAAATATACATTGTACTATGCATAGATATTTGGGATGAATAGGTTGAGTGACAGTTTGGTGTTTTCCCAAATGTTCGTGTCTACTGTTCCTGGGAGAATCTATATCCAGTTGCATTCACCCCTGTTGCACTTGTGTGCTCAATCTAACAAATTGTCAAACTGCTACACAAAAAGCAAAATGAAAGATTCATTTTCTGGCCTATATACAAGCACAGCAGTTTAAGGATTAAAAAAAGACCTGTTCCGTTGCATTCCCCGTTAATTGCAAAACAAAAGCAAAGCCCACATTTAGAGGTCCAGTGTTTGACAGATACATGCTCTTGAGTCGGTCAGATACTGCAAGGAGGCGTAGCCCGAGAAAATGCAGCAAGGAATAAATATGCATTGTGTTATTTTTAAGGTTTGGTTTGAGCTCATTTTTTTGCACTTGTTAAGAGAAAGTACACTGGAGCTGATAGCTGCCCGGTTCTGAATGATGAACTGCATTAAGCATTTCTGCTTCCTTGCCTAGACTTGTTTGAGCTAAACTGCTATCCTTACAGTGTCAGCTTGTTTTGATTCTTCCAGTTACAAAGGAGGAGAGAAGCTACAGAATTTAAATTTTAACCGACTCGATGACCTCAGATTATCAGGACCTCTTCTCCCCACCACTCTCCTATTCTGTACTTCATGATCATAATAATCCTTGCACTTGATATAGCTCCTTTTCCCGCCGCCTTCAAGATGTCTCCACACGCTTCACAGAAGATACTGTAAGGTGTAGTGACTTGTGGGCGAAACGCGGCAGCCAATTGTACACAGCAGTGTCCCACAAACAGTCATGGATTGAATGATTTATTATTATTTTTGAAGGGATCGTTACTACTGGAAAGCAATCCACTATTCCTTGGGTTCTGTAAGGGAGGCATGGAAGAATAATTGGAAGACAAGCCCTCTGAAATTCATTTGGCTGGCTACTAGATTAGGTAACATCTGTCCTCTTGACCTAGAATAGTGTATAGGGAGAAGAGTTGATGTGTGAAAGATTATATGTAGATACCCTATCAAAGTCAGAATAATACGAGATTTTAATAAGTGCAAAAATATAATTAACATACCTTTGCATCGGTGCATTGCTCATATTAATTTTATTGTGCACTTCATATTTGTAACGCATTTCATATTGGAATACTGGTCATTCATTTCTGACTTTATTTTTATTTAATCTCCTGGTGGTGCAGGAATGGAATAGTTATATAACATGTAAATAAATAACTCGAAAAAAGAAGTTGTTTCATCATTGTTGTAAGAAATTAAGCTAAGCTTTGATAGTCTCCAGAGAATTGGACAAAAGGGCTGTGGGTTAGCATCCTCAATCCCAGGGTGAGTGAATGTATAATAATAATCCTTGCATTTGGTATAACACCGTATCATGTCTTTGGGATGTCTCAAAGCTCTTCACAGAATATACCGTAAAGTGAATTGACTATATATTTTATGGGCGAAATGTTGCAGCCAGTTGCACACAGCAATGTCCCACAAACAGTCGTGGATTGAGTGACCAAATTATTATTTTTTTTTGAAGAGATTATTACCCCTGAAAAAGATTGACAACTGGGTTCCTAGTTACTGCTAGGTAAACAGGGGTGTGTGGAGTAAGGAAACTTGCCCAAAGATTCAGCCTGTCCGGGAATCAAACCCAGGTCCTCTCGCCTGCGAGGCGAGTGCTCTAACTACCAACCACCCGACCTCCAGATGGGGTGATGGGGGAGAAACCAGGTTGGAGAGGCGGTATAGAACTTAATCACAGATAGTTTATTTTTCTGTAAGCCACTAATTCTAGTTGTGTATCTTGTTATTACCATGTGTTCTGTGGTTAAATAATTCTTGGTTTCCCACACTGATTTTTTTTTAAATAACTACTATTGTGGAATGGGTGTGTCTCTACCTCTTGAGGGAAATGGTTGTTGGAAGTCCTGGAAGTACAGTTTCAGAGACTTAGTCTAGGACATTGGGGGCCAGGACAGGCAGTAATTGCATTGATTCCTAAACTAGGGATATTTTGAAAATGTATTGTCTGCTCTCCTTCAAAATACTACCCTGACCAACAGTCCTCCAGTTAAAATAGGCATTCACTTCATGGCTGTTTGTAGGACCTTGCTATGTGCAAAATGGCCGATGTATTTGTTTTGCCGACAAATACACAGTCACTACATTCTATTCAATATATCAAGTGTAATCACTTCACATCAACAACAAATTGCATTTATATAACGCCTATCACATCGAGAGGACATCCCAAAGCAGTGGACAGGGGAAGATTTGCCCCCGAATTGGGTGTTGGAATCAAGAGGCAAGGGAGGGGGTGAGGCGGAGGGGCTCTAGGAGAGAGTTCCAGAGGGTGGAGGCAGAAAGACTTAAGGCCCGAGGGCAGGGTACGTGGAACAGACCTGCCGAACAGAGGGAGTACACAGGTCGGAAAAGTTTTTGTAGGTGACAGAGGTGGGGAGGAACAAGACAGTGGAGGGCTTTAAAGGTGAGAACAGGGATCGTGAACTCGATCTTCTAGGGGTTGTGGAACTACTGAAGCCGGGCAAAGATGGGGTTAATCGGGTCACGGAGCTTAGTGCGAGAGTTCTGAATAATCTCCAGATTGTGGAGGGAAGAGTTGGGAAGTCTGGTCTGAGCAAGGCGTTAGCATAGTCGAGCCTGGACTTCATGAAAGCAACCTGAGGGGAGAGATAGTGGTGGAGGTGGGGAAGGCAGAACGGGTAATTGACTGCAAGTATCTATGAAGCGCTTCGAGATGTTTTGTCATGGTAGCCGATGTATCAAATGCTAGAATTATTTATTCTTCTTACCTCCACTCAGAAGACAAATTATATCGGTGGCCGGGCTTTCAGCCTCTCTGCCCCCACACTCTGGAACTCCATCCCACGGTCCCTTCGCCTCGCTTCCTCCCTTGCCTCCTTCAAAGCCAGTCTCAAGACCCTTCTCTTCGATCGTGCCTTTGGTTGCCCTCCCACCTCTCTGCCTTCCCTCACCCCTACACCACGTCTCCCCCCATGCTCGGGTCCCGACACCTGACTGTTCAGCGCTTTGGGACGTCCTCCCGACGTGAAAGGCGCTGTATAGATGTGATTTTGTTGTCGTCGCATATTTGTTCCTGGTAGTGTTTGATCAGAAACGTAGTCTCTGCAGAAAAATAAACCACTATTTAGCCAAGGCATGTGGATAGCATTTCAGTTTCATACAGCAGCCTGGCTCCAATTTCAGGAGTTTTATGTTTTCTTAGCTTTTATTACGAGTCATGGAAATCAAACCTCGTCCTCTCTGTGTGGCTCAGGGCTGCAGCATCTTTTATTTTGGGCTGATACTTGCTGCAAATTGAGTTTATTTTCAAATTTTCGCCCCCTGCTCTCATCAAGGTGATGTCTCACGCTGGGTGCTGGCAGACTGCCAGTACCTGTCCCATTGGCCATTCTTTACGTGTGAGCAGGATATTCAGTTGCTGAGGACATCATAGCAGAGCCTGCTACCTGTATCCACACCTGTACCTTTCAGCAGGGATACCTAGTGGGATCACGGTTCATTTTCCCTTCTGCTCTCTCGCCCCCCCCCCCCCCACCCCAAATAACACCTGGAGTAAAGAGGTCAATTTCAGTGCAACAGTGAACAGAACAAAGTGGATGGCTTTGTAGACTATGTAGCTCAGTGCTGTAGAGGCAATACATTTACCCACATTTGTTTCTGATTTTTCGTTCTTTTCTAAAGGCTACGAGTTAAAGAGAGAAAGACTGATGTGGCATACCACCTTGCCTATGAATATTCATTAGTGTATTTCTGCCTCTGCACAAAGTGAGAACGAGGCGCGGCTGTAATCTGACTCTGTCTCAGATGTATCTCAGTAACCTAGTCTCACTCCCATGCTGCTGTAGTGGAAGTAGTGGAAGCTGGCAAGGTAGTGCTTATCTACATATTTGACAGGCTGCTCTCTTCAGCTCAGATGATGCCCATTTTTTTCATGTCGTGAAAAAGCAAGGTGCTCTGCTGACTGAAATAGAAGAGGTTTCTTACCTAGTAGGACTGGTGCCCAGCAGCCTGTTTCCTTATTGACTAGGACAGTATTACGAATTTAGCCCCCGACAGTTTTTTTTTTCCCAAACAGCATAGCTAAAAAAAATTGGCACAACTCAACGCGGAAAAAAAATGCCCTATTGTTTTTGTGTTTGCTACCAGAATGCATTTGTTTGATTGAATTAACCGTGTTCATGGATGAAGAGGTAATAGATCAGTTTTGGCAGAAGTCTGGGTACGGAACGGTTGCATGCCCTTTGTCAAAGAATGCCGTGTGGGCATCGAGCAAGAAAAACCTAAATACCCACTGGAAGAATATAATAATGACTATATTTTGCTTTATTTAAAGCGAATCCAGCAGGTGTCTGAAGGAGGCAGTTCAGGTGGCATGTTTGGACATGGGCTGAAGCAACTTTTTCACCATCGGAAACGGTCCAGAGAACGTGACCAGACAACGCAAGACACCTCTCAATCTTGCCACCATCACCATGGGCACTCTGATCATGAATCAGCGGATGAGAAAGAAAGATCTCCTGAGATGCACCGTGTGTCCTATGCCATGTCCCTCCACGATCTTCCCGCTCGCCCTACTGCCTTCAATAGGGTTCTGCAGCAGATCCGTTCCCGGCCGTCCATCAAGAGAGGAGCCAGCCTCCACAGCAGCAGCAGGAGGACAAAAAGTGGAGCAGCTGAATGTCAGAAAGGTAGTCCTCACCTGGTGCGAAAGACGCCCCAGGACAGTTCGTTGACCGCAATCCTACAGCAACATCAATACAGACCGAGATCCTCATCCACCACGGATACACCCATTGCTGCTGGCGAAAGTGGCAGCATCTACCCAGCAAATGAGGAGTCGGAACGGATCACAGATAAGGTACAGTACCTTTTTTTTATTTGATTTAAAAACCACGTGGAATGGTACTGAAAGATCCTGCAAAACAGTATTCGCACTCGAAGAACATTTAATTATCGTGGATTATTATGTTCCCATGATCTTATTTGGGTAAGCTCAAACGAAGAAGAGAAAAATAAGGAAACTGTCCAAGGTTTCTTTGAAACTGACGATGCAGGAGTTTTCACTGTTAGCAGTGGGAATTGAATTGGCATTCTGTTTGTTTCTTACTGTTGGTGTTTCATCTAAGGTTGGAGTGGTTATTTCCTTCCTCTTCAGATCATTTAAAAGAACGGGTTCTGTTTTACTCGTAACTATCAAAGCAATAAAGCCTTGAGTAATGATTGAGCAGTATGGCCACAGGAACTGAGCGCATGTGGTTTTACAGTCTTGTTCAGAAACTCTAAAATCACATTAACTGCCAGTTTGATCTTTATCAAACATTTCTTGATAATATGTGTCCAGCAACATTGTCATTTCTTTTGGAAACCTTGTATTTTTTGGTATATCTTAGTTTTGTAAGGTGGAGGACGTTCATGCGAGAAGTTAACATAGTTCTACTTTTGCATCCACCACCAGCCTCAGCAAAGCATTCTTTATGCTACTCATGTGGTTTTCTGCTTCCTGTACAAACTACCTCTTTAATCTGTAGGGGGGGAATTGTCAATTCAGCGCCTGACAGTGCTGACTTGTGAGCCGTTTCTGTGTTCCTGACCTCTTCTGTCCATGAAGAGCAGAAGTGTGCCAAAAGGATTTCACACGGGACCTTTACTGCCAGAGCGTTTATCTTGTTAATCTGGTCTTGACTGAAACACAGGTCCTGCAGGTGAAATTAAGGTCTTCTGTCACTGCATCACCTAGTAATAGCACTGAAATTTCATGCTGTACTCTTTTGGCACCAATATGGGACAAATATTGCACATCGGAGCTTTAAAAATAAGACATTTATAGAAACAACAGTCAGGGATTGCTCGAAAAATGGGCACCAATATTCTTATTTTTTAACCAGAAAAAATTATATGCAAAATGAGTAAAAGTGAGCTGCTAATTTTTTTTTCTTTGTTCTACCTTCAGGACCACTAAAAATTCAACTCTTATTTGTTAACCAGTTAGGTTTTAGCTATGCTAACCTTGGGTTATGTGTAACAACATTTAATAACTAAGATTACTGAATCCACGAGATTAGAAAACTTTGTCTCAATGTGTTTGCAATAGTAGCGGCTTGCTAGCGTACACATTGTCCAAATTGTGGTTATTATTCACAAACGGATTGACGGATCTTGACCGGATCGGACTTTAGTCTTTAAACTTTAGATTTTTCTTTGACCCTGGTATATACGGGTGATATTTCCATTTGAGTTTAGTTAATTCTTGACCAGTCTGGAAATCAAAATTATTTGGCAAAGTGTTAGAAGAAATCAAGTGTCCGAGGATGTTGCATTTTTCATATTTACCATCTGGAATGAATTGACTGAGAAGCCACCGTTAGTCATTTTGTTTGCCTTGGTTGAATATTAATAATCCTTGTATTTGATATGGCACCTTATTATGTGAGTCGCACTATTTTTACCCCTTGAGTAAGGCAGAGTGACTCAGATCTGCTTAGAATGGATTTGAGAAGGTGATGACAATCTCGAGAGTCCACTCTGGTTTCATGCATACCTTCTCTTTGTATGTTTGTCCAGGGGACCTATGATACTATGAAAAGAACAGTTGAGTTCTGTTTGATTGGGAACGTCCCAATCCAAATTCAAAGTCCGACATTATAGCGCAACATTTTTTTTCGCAGGATTTAGCCACAGTGGGTTTTTTTAAGCTCAGAAGTGCAGTTACGATTGCAATCACTGGGCTGTAAAATCTACAGGATCGTTTTTTTTAAAACCTGGCATTTTGTTTAAACTTTTTTTAATTAAATGCAGTCTTTTTCTGACACCGGAGGGAACTTTACTCTGCATTTAAAAAAATATATATGATTGCTATTTTATGTCTAGTTTTGTGGAAAAAACGGTTGTCAGTTTTATACACTTGACTAGTGTATTCGGAGGAAGCATAAACCAATCTAAAGCTGCAATTATCGCACTGAATTTCACAATGCATGTCTCACTGAGGAAGACAAGTCAGAAATCCCAGGAATGTATATTACAACACTGGTTGCTGTAAAACGTAGCACTTTGCAACATTGCATTACTGAACCGATAATAAATCCTAATCTTGTTGGTTCTCTGTGGCGCTGTACCACGGAACTCCAGAAGTGGTGAGAAGCTGTAGAAGAAAAGAGTCTTATCTTTGTACATTTTGCTACAAATATTGTACATTCTGTTACTTACATACACAATTCTCCTCGATTTGCAGATATATTATCTTGTCAATTATTATAGCAAGGGCGTCAGCTTGGTAGAATACTTGCCTCAGGGACAGATGTTGTGGGTTTAAGCTCCACAATGGGACTTAAGCTCAAAGCCCAGTTCTGACACTGTACCGGGAGACGACAGCACTGTTGGAAGTGTTCTGTTCTTCAGGTGAACGTTAATGATCCCACTTGCATTGTTCATGGAAGTTTATCCTAGTATCCTAGCCAGCAATCCAGATAAATTGGTTATTCACTTTCTGGGATCTAATCTATGCAAATTGTTTTTCACTTTTACCTATAAATAGTCAATATACTTATAGTAATTACCTGTGAAGCACTTTGAGACTTTTCTAAGAAACCAATCGCAATGATTAAGAGTATCTGAAGCAGGCATGTGTTTCTCGGTGTCAAACATTCAGCTGACTTTAAAAAAGACACTCTATCAAACGCAAGGATTATTGTCGTGAGGCTGATGTTGATAGGTGATGTCAACTGTCTTTTTATTTGATTAAAACACGTCTTTCATTAAGAGAATTTCACATGGCAAGAGTTTAAGCTGTGAATAAAGCAGACATATGACTGTGTTTCATATAGTATATGTCAGCAGCTCACAGGATCTGAGCAAGATGGAGCTACACAGGCATCTCTGTGATGTGTTCTAACATATCCAGGGCTGAGAAATTGCACAAAAGTAGCTCCGGAGGAAACCATCAGACTATCTCATCAAGGTAGTAATGAGGAGCATAGAATTATTTATAGCAGATGAAAATAACTTTGAACTGTAGGGCTCAAATTCACTTGTAGTTTTAAGTAAAATGCATGACTGTTTTTAAATCAGAAAATCTTGCTTCTCGTATTCAGTGGCGTTTCAGTAAATCTCATAATTAAAATGAAATCTGCGTCATAAATTCTGATCCAGAAAACTAGATTCAGAACATGAAGCAGGAAATTCAGCAGCAAAACAACACGTTTGGCACACTGCATCTGGACCGGCCAACTGGGCAGCCACAGATCTCGGTTCACACATTATAGAAGAGTGTTCTTCATCTAATCCAAGCAGATTAATTTCATGACCCAAGTAGACTCCCACTGACTCCCAGTGACTGCCAGCCAATTGAAGAGTATGATTATAGATTAAGTCCTGCAATTCACTGGACAATTCTCAGTTCCCATTTGAAGTCCATCTACTGTGGGAACAGTACATTCCTTGTTTGATATGAAGCCTTCAGAACTTTAAGGAAAGCAGCTCTTGCGCTCAGGAAACTTGCTGCATCAGTTTGTTTGTATAAATCTTCCTGTTTTATGTTATGAAAACTCTGTGTGCAAAAGCATATGGTAAGAAGGCATCCTTATTGAGCTAGGAGACTAACATTTCGCATAGATCCACAAGATTGTGTGGAATTTTTTGGGGGAAAATGAATTTGTAATTTCAGTTTTAATTTGGAAGTTGTTTTTTCATAGTCCTTTTTAAGCAGTGGCTGCAGTCATTTCAATACTGTGGTAGCACATTAAAGAGATTTAAAAATTTCCAAGAATTCTCAACATACGATGTCAGCCAATGATCCAAGTTTACAACAAATACGATCCTATTTGTGTAATGTTTACAACTAGAGAATGTAGAATATATTGCAGCTGATGTATGGAAGAGTTGCTGAGGTTATGTGACACTGTGATGCTCTTATGCATTTCCTGGAGCTTAGCTTGGATATTCGTTATCTTGATCAGGCGGTAGTACTGAAAGCAGTTGGGGGGGGTGGGGGGATTTGCTATCCTACCTAAAGTCTTATATTCCTGCTTGTCTGGAACATTTTGTTTTTCGTGTGTGTGTGTTGCAGGTCTTAGGTTTTCAACTGTTCAACTCCATTTCGTGTAATTATTGTGCTTAAAAATGAACCTGCATCAATCCCAAAATAATTCAATTCAAATCTCTGAAATGCAACACATCATAAACTTGTGTACAGTCAAGTATTGATGGAAATTTTTGCACCAACTGTTTATTTTCAGTCGGTATCTCTTTGCATACTTACATTATCCAGATATTATTAAATATAATTGCTGTTGACTAAAAGTAATTGTGTGATCCGGTGTGCAAATGCTTTCTAGATGCTTAATGATGTACTCCGGAGGCAAATGTGCTGCCTATAATATTTGCACACCTCTGATGGAACAAATATTGTGGCGATGGGGGACTGAGGCAGCTGTACTGAATTATTTTGCAATTAAAATAAAAGATTAAGACTGTAACTTCTGCTTTTGGATGGTGCAAAGATGACTTACAAAGGATGAAAATTATCTTTTGCCTCGATCTTAAATCTTCCTTTCCTTGAATTTGAAAAATTGAAAGCAATTTATGAAAGGAAATCATTTGGACTTTGTATACAGTCCTGCCTTAATGTAAGCCATGCAGATCACATTAATTTGACTCGGGAGAGGACAGAGCCACGGTATGTGGTCATCTCGGAATAGCTGCCAGCACTCTTGTAACTGGGTCAAAAAGTTATGAGTTTGCATCTTTGTTGGGACTTTGTCAGCCCATTAATTGGCATTCTCAGTAGGATCTGTCCTCTGTGAATAATCAAAATCTTGTTCATTTCTAGCAATAAAATAATTAATAATCCTTGCATTTGATATA